GGATACTTTTTAACGCGGGAAAATGTTTCATTTATGAGAAAAAATATAAAAAATGCAATGTAAGAGTATACTAATATTTAAAACCTAAGAATTTGGTTTTTGGTCATCTGAACGCGGGCGGAGCCGCGGGCAATGCTAGTTTTATTATATGTATAGACTAGTAATGTTTACATATAATAAAAATATGATCAATTACATTTTTATTAGAACATGGATGATATTTAAAAAAAACTATTATTCGGGGTCTTTATTAACGCAATAAAACCCAAAACAATGATTTTTAGAATTAGAAACACTTGTTTTATTTCAATCGGTTCATACCTAAATAAAAAAGATATGTCAATTTAAAGAATCACCTATTTACTAAGTATATCCATACTAATATTATAAATGTGAAAGTGTGTTTGTTCGTTCTTCTTTCACGTCGAAACAGACATGGATTGGCGTGATTTTTTGTGTGCAGATAGTTAGAGGGCCGGAGTGACATAGGCTACTTTTTACCGCGGGAAATTATCTCACTCCTACGGAAAAACACGTTATAATACAATCAACAACAACTCATCATACCTGTGTATATACATATTTAACTAGCGAGTCACCCTCGCTGCGCTCAGGTTTTTCCTTACGTTTTGACGCCTATTGTTAGGATGGAATAGATTTTTTTTTTCGTTTACCCGAGCGAAGTGAGGGTGAGCCGCTAGTAGATAATATATAGTCTATCTATTCCATACTAACCGATAAAAACGTACCTAGACGACGAACCCAAGCAAAGCGAGGTTGAGTCGCTACTAAAGTATTTATTTATATGCAATAATTAATATATTATTCCAATTTGTTTTTGCTTTATGTAACTAAATAGCAGTACACTGTTAACATGTTTAGTATTCAAATGGCTTCATTCTAATTGGTTTATGATGTGGGAGTTTAGTTACTGGCATTCTAATGATCTAAAATATATAGGAAATTTATAAAATTTGTAATCAGATCAATTTTTTAAAATGATGTAAAAATTACATATTTCATAGAAGATTATTTCGACCCATCAATATGTAATCACAAGCCAACTCCAAACTAATCTATACCTATTGCCTTATTATACTAGGATTAAAAAATAAACTTACCAAATAAGATCAGACCAATTCATAGCTGCTGCAGTCTAACACACATTAAAGCGTAAGCATATTGATGCTAGACATATCAACGTTTAAATTAGTGTATTTAATGATATTTCTTGAGTCGTAATATCACTTAATATCGATACACAATATTATCTGCTTTGATTTCAAGATTTATCGCTAATTTACCTGGATAATTTGTAGTCTAGATTGTAATGACAAAATTGTTATCTTTATCGATATGATATCCATGTCCGCATGAAAATATAAAATACATTCACTTTTAAAATAATCTAAATGAAATGTGATATAACTTTACACTTTAGTTTATTGAGTTTAATATCAAATATTAATAACTCACTAGCGACCAATACACAAACATCTATACATATAATAAAATTGTAACGAAGCCGAATCTGTACATTGAATATTTTTTGGAAAATGTTATTGAAGTAAACATTATTATTGATACAGAGGTTGAATCTATAGTTATTAGAATTTTTGTCTGTGTGTTACCGCATCACAGAAAACCACTAGAGGGATTTTGAAGAAATGTGGTATGGTGATAGCTGGTTATCCGGGTCAACATTATAGGATACTTTTTACCGCGGGAAAATATCTCATTTCTGAAAAAAAAATGCAAAAACTGCAATGTGAGAGTATACTAATATGTAAAACCTAAGAATTTGGTTTTTGGTCATCTAAACGCGGGCGGAGCCGCGGGCAATGCTAGTCATAAATACATGTCACATATACTTACGTAAGATAGGTTCATATAATACTTTCTTAGATTTACGCGAATATTTGACATTTTAAATAAAACTATCTTTTCGGATTATTTCGCGGATTTATTTTGATTTTTGGTTCCCGACGTTTCGAATGCTTTACAGAATCCTTGGTCACGGGAGAGACTGAGGTGTTACTTTATTCGAGGGTATAGTTGTTACAGACAGTCTACTCACAATTAACAAAATGAAAATTGCACCAATTATGCCATACCATGGATGCTGTAAAGCATTCGAAACGTCGGGAACCAAAAATCAAAATAAATCCGCGTAATCCGAAAACATAGTTTTATTTAGCTTCATATAGTTTACTAACTTTCTTTAAAAAAACAATAAAACAAATCAGCACGAAGTAGTTTAAAGCTGAGAATGAAAATAACCAACAAGTGTTAATTATATAAAACAGAGTTAGACTGTTACTTTTTAAGTAATTTTACTCAATAATGACTAAGGGCTGTCTTAGATAAAATGAGCATAGTTCACAAAAATGTTCGTGTAATATATTATTTCTTGTTTAATTCTTGAAACTACCGACCGCGTGTAGAACGCAAATCAAACATATATTATTATTTTATTTCTGCACAAAGATGTTTCGTTTATTTTCACATAACTTGTTTATCTCTATAATTTAATGTAAACATTTTCGTTTTAGAAGTGTAAATACATATATGTAATACAAATATAAAATGAGATAGTGAAACATCAAATTTCGTATTTATATTCAAAAAAGCTTCTTAAAAAGAACAGCTTACATTTAATGTTACGTAAATTCAACAAAGAAAATATAACAAGTATGAAAGTGAAGAAATTTATTTCTATAATACACAAACGTACCTATCCCACGGGAACCGCTCATTTTTCCGGGATAAAAAGGAACCTATTGTTTGACCGGCAATATAAGGTATCAGCATGCCAAATTTTACTAAATTACGTGTATAAGTTGTTGTGTATTAAGCTGTATAAATTACTATAGTTTATAACTATCCCACGGGAACTTTAATTTTCCGGGACGAAAGGTATCTATAATGTTGAACGGGGATATAAGGTACCACCACCATGCAAAATTTCTTTTAAATCGGTTCATCTGTTTCGAGGATTAGCCCGTACAGACAGACAAACAGACAGGAAAAACGAAAAAAATGGATTTGTTCCATTTCTCCTCTTACATACCCCTGACTCGGTTTTAAACATTTTTTTCTATGTACAGTTATTCAACCTCTACAATTTTATTATATGTATAGATACAGTACGGTCATGGCTAAAATTCTCCACGAACATGTCTAATTAAGAGTAAAGTCAGAAGTAACTACGACAAAGAAAATTAATTATTTATTCTTGACGAATAAAAATTGAACGCATCTCAACAGTGAATAATTCAAACATAGCAATTTGTTAAGAACATTAGAACTTACTATAAAAAAATTCAAAGCAATTGCTTTTAACCACGCGCTGTAAATATTTATTTAATATTTGGTTAAGAGAACAATTTAAAAGCGATCATTCATTAAGAAGTAGATCAATGTTAAGGACCTTGTTTCAAAGTGTAGGAAAATCTCCTGATACAGTTGCATGCACTATTATTACGTAGAAAACGGTTGAAGTGCAGGCCGCTCGTAAGTCCCATATCGGACGGATGTGCCTGGTGTGCATCATCTCGAGAGGTGTCCAGCTGGCGCCGCCGCCAATCATTCAATTATGAAGTTCTCATTGCACCGCCGCGCTCCAAGCATCAATTACAGAATGAGCTCAAATTATCCTGAGGTATCGTATTAAAGATAACAGTTAACCATATTTTTTGTATGTCTTTTCCTCCGTATGTTTATCCTTCAAGTTGAAAATGGGTAGTTGAACATTTAGTTTTACGAACTCGTTAACATTTTTCTAAAAGAATTTATAAATGAAAATGTGATAGTGATGGTAAATATTTACGCGTGACAAAAACCTGACTTACATACTTAAAAAGTAAATGTAACAGTTGGCGTTTTGCATCAAAGTTATCTTATCCGTTTTCTTTGCCAATCAAACAATAGGAACACGTAAACAGACAAGTAAAAGGGGCTCGACTTTATTTATGTATGTATAACCTGAAATGCTTCGAAGCTGAATGCTTCGATGATTATATGATACATTTAGAAATCTTTACATATAATAAATCTGTAGACGTCGAATGTGTGTAAATAGAATTTTTTTTGCTAAAAACCGAGTCAGGGCGGTGTAGGAAGGGAAATAGAATAAATCCTGATTTTTTTTTTCTTTTTTTTTGTTCCTCTGTCTGTTTGTCTGCTTGTAAATAGTAATATTCGAGCACTTTACCACACACATCCGAAAACTGATTCTATTACAATTTCCTTTAACAATGTTTATGTTTTTATTACAAAACTAGAGGCTCACCCTCGCTCCGCTGGGGTTCGTCCCTAGCTTGCTTCCCCATACAATCTTTCATCCCCATTCTCACCCCCTTAAGGGATGTTTTCAGGGATAAAAACTATTTCACTCACTCACTTTTCATATCATCAGATTTGTAAAAAGTCTTACTATAGTAAAAAAAAAATCTTTTAATTTTCTTCTATACAATGCCAGTCCTAATAATCATAAACACAAAAAAAAAGGATCATCCAATTTGGTGCAGTAGGTGGAAGTTATGCGCGTACATATGGACATTTGGGTGATTCGTTTTTATTTATATAGATAATAGATACCCGTGACAAGATAGATATTATAAAGAGGTTCTTTAAACGTTGTTGATACATATGTCAAAGAACTTATAATATCTACAATGTGATGAATAAGGTTACCTACTAAAAATTATTATCTTCACCTATCTACTATTAACCATTTGATATTAGCTTTACAGGATGAGTTTAATGAAGTAACTTTTTACATTTTTGGAAATTATTATTTATTAAATAATTTCAAATAAGGAAAGCAATTTAAACACTTTTTCTATGGAAACTGCCTAACATTGCCAACCTTTTAATTTTTTAATATTCATTTGGTTTTGTTTAAGGTGCAGTGCACTATTAACTTGTATGTATGAATAGAGGCAACGTGGTCGACGACACAAAATTTACGACTTTAGAAGTGAAGAACTCAACAACTATTGACCGATACCAAACAGTTCTATATCAGCTTTGAGTAAAATTGCTGTGACATAGACATGGGCAGTTATGACAAAATTATAAGGATTCCGTGTATAACGAGTACTTTGAATTCTAAAAATGGACGAACGCATTTGATATGCATTAGACTGTATTAAAATTCTTCCTTTACCCAGAGCATAGATTCTATGTCCCGTGTTCAGGAAACTAGTAACTTCTTTTTTTTTGGTTTCTATGACGTAGCGACTCATTTTATCTTCCAAGATTAATAAACTTATGTCAATCACATTCGCTAGAATACGTCGGTGAAAGTCCCGTTAAAATTAGTTCAGAAATTTCGGAGATTAGCGAGTTCAAACCAAAGATAATAAAAAGATATATGTGGGTTTTGGTAACCAAGTAGAGTTTCTGTTTATAATAATCAAATTGTTTTTTTATGAAAAATTATATTTTTGGTAATTAATTATTAGATTATTTTTTTCTATGATTGCTATTTGCTACTATATCAGAGGTGCATCCTGTATACGCACACTGTGATAATACCTAATAGAAACATGTGATTTGATATCATTCTCATATGTAGAACAATATAATCAGATAAATAATGACAGTTTAAGAGAATTTGCCAACTGCGCTTCTGTCGTTTTCCACATTTGATAGAAAACAAAAGGACGCTAATCAGTCAATTACACAATGGAATTCAATATAGATATGCAAATAAGAAAAGGGAAAATAGATAGAGATGTGACAAAGGCGTAGGTGTGAAATCGATCGGTCGTGGTAGGTGGTCGATGAGGCGGCTCGTTTTGTGCGCCGCAGGACGCGCGTGACTGTACTGTTACTCGCTTAATGTGACACGGCCTCGCGTACTTGAGATCGTCACGATTCTAGCACATATTAACTTATCCTTACAAAATATTCCACGTAAAATATAACAATAATACAAATAAAAACTCAGGTATAGAATGCGATTAGCTTGAATATTTTTTAATTAATGGATGTAACGGTTATAAGTACATTATATAATAGTAATATTCAATCTTCACACACAAATACATATTGTAGTAATTCAGAGATAGCTTTCTTGAATATATATTTTTTTGTATTTTTTTTTTTGTAAAAACAATAAGTTACCTCTATAAATTCATTTCCTTATTTTTTTCTTAAAAACCTAAATTAACAATTTCATGCAAAATATATTATTTCGTGTACGTATACTAAAGTCTAAACATATGTATAGAAATTTACAAAAATTTATTATAAATTTTTAAATGCGCTACCTTCACTTAACATATGTTATATTTTATAATACTTAAGAGGCCTAACATTTTAAGACAAGAAAACTAGAACGGAAGCGACTAATGTAGGTCAAATTGCGAACAGTAGAGATTTGCCGTAAAAAGACCAACATTATTTTTTTGCCACAATCGTAGCTCATTTGTGATATACATATATACATACGTATAATAGAAGACGGAACAAAGGAAACAATGCAGCTGATTCACCCCCATACCACTTGCTTGCACCTAAACATATTATATCGGCCAAGGACGCCGTGGCATATGCACCTCGACGGATGACGGAACAGTGAGCACAGCTTTGTAACAAAGACAGTAACCAAGCTAATAAGTGATGAGAGAAACATCATGGAATTACTTACATATAGTTTTTATACCTATCTGCTTAGGTCATTCTATTCCCACTAGCCTACTTTCTGCCTTTGCCATACACTTGAATATATTAAGAATCAGTTCATCAGCATTCGAGGTTAAACAGGGACTGTTAGGTATAAGCAATTTTTCATTGTGATTTAAAAAATACATGTTATACTAATAGATCGAAGATTAAATCAGTACCCATATCTTGGATTTTTTTATTGGGGTTCGATGCTCATTTCATTTAGGGGTCGAGTTCGATAGCAGCGCACAGCAAATGATATGTTAAATTGTACGAGTTTCAGTTAAAACTCAGTCTCTTTTTCCGTGAACTAGCTTTGACCGAAAACGTCAACAAGAAATTACATAAATAAAAAACTAATATTTTCTATTGAAAAAACTGTTTAGTCCCCCTAGCCAGCCGATACTGGCTGTTTACGTTAGATTTTTTTTTTGTTTTTACAAAAAAAGACTTCTGATAGAATATAACATATTACTATGACTGTATATGCCTACCATATCTATCATTTTGCAAACAACGTACTTACATATATTTTAAAAAGTATAGATATTAATTAAATGACTGGCCTCGGGTACAGGAGGCTGTTCACCGAGATAAAGAACTGATAGGGTGAGATTATGTATACATTCAAGATAATAATGCATGATGTAAATATTTACATTATACCTAGACTATGTATCTACATTATTTTGTATATACCTACTATACCTATGGAACAGAGTATACTATAGTTATGACGTCATATGCCGCTTTTGTTTTTAATATACCTAAATATAAAAAAAATATAATCATCGCAAAGACCATGTTTGTTTCTGAGTTTTTATTTATAGGTAGGTACACAATATTTGTAGGTATTTAATTCTGTAGATGATAAATTTTGTAAATTTTATATCAATCATGTAGCCATAGAACACAATATAACGGCTTTATGAAGAATAATGAGGAGAAGCAAAATTGCAGGCCTTATGTGTTTTCAACCGACTTCAAAAAGGAGGAGGTTCTCAATTCGACTGTTTTTTTTTATGTTTGTTATCTCAGAACTTCGCCATTTATTAACCGATTTGGACAATTTTTGTGTTGTTTGAAAGTGTATACTTCCAGATTGGTCCCATTTAAATTTCAAAAAAAAATACCACCCCTAAGGGTGGAAAAATAGCTAATCATGAATTTAACCTACTTCTAATTGTCATATTGACTTGAAACTTTGCAAGTGTTTCTATTTCCGTTGATAGTACAGTGATTCGGTATTGTTGACCTGATCTGATGGTAAGACCAGAAGGTGGATATGTGAAACTCTTCAACGGCTAATAGTAGATACTTTGAGTTTGGGCTTGTTTTGTTTCATTTGACAAGCAATACGTTAGAATTCTTACTTTGCTACTACTGTCTACACTAATTTTCGAAATCAGTGCCAGCCCATACAAAGTAAAGCACACCGACTTCGAAAATATTTGATTAGGTATGTATAGTAAATGAAAACTACCAATCAGTTATTTTTTACTTTTTAGTGCTTTTGTTTGAAGTCGGTTTTTATTTTTTTGTTAAAAAGTTTTTATATTATAAGTTATGTTCGCGAATCTATATATCACCAATTTTTCTATCTACGGATCGATATAACTAGCTAGTTTCAATTGTAACTCCGTTTCTATTGAGTTACATCCTTACATAGTCCCATAACCTTAGCAGCAAAAATACCATTTTCGGAAAAAACAAAAAAGTTAAGAAATTACAAACAGAGTATATCCATTTTCACCTATTCATATCTAATTGTCACATTGACTTATAATTAAATTATTATTTACTATCGAACTGAACCGACGATGGAACCTACGAGATGAAGGTAAGTACCTACCTAAGTACCTACTAGCTTTAAATAAAAAAATGAGTTTGGATGCATTTGATTTGTTTTGAATAAATAATGTATTGCTTACCAAAGTGTGTCTATTTCTTTAGTAAATGTAAATAATTGTAAGGGAAATATAAAAAATAATAAAATAATTTTCAAATTGGAATTATATTCGTGGACGCTTCGTAATTCAAAGTATAGTATAGTCTTCTATAAAATATCGTCATACTTGTATATGTAAACAGATCGTTTAACTAATGTGAATAAATAGGTAGGTAGTTGTAGATTTTATTTTAGTTATAAATAATAACTTAAATTGCTATGTCAAACAAGTAAAAATAGCTTTCCTACTTCACCGTCGATAGAATACTTCAGTTTTCTTTAAATATATATAGGTATACGTAAATCGACTTCAAGGAAAATGAATGAAGAGGGGGTTTCATTTCATCTACAAGTATCTAATCAGCGCCAGCAATTGCAAGGCAAACAAAAGTGAATAATCCATTTAAATATGAATACGTGTTTACTCAGAATATAATATATAATATGATATTTATAATATAAATATAGTTAAAATATATACATGCACATATTCCATTTACCTTGCATTGCTTTAACGCTTGCTTATAAACGCTCAGACCAAGCCGGTGGAACTAGTGGTAAAAATTTTTTGGTGCATGTACATTGTACATATACCTATATGTTTGTTTCACTTTAGGTGAATACATAATGTGTGGTTGTGTTGTGAATAAGTTTCATATTAATATAACAATGAGTAAATTAAAAAAAGTTTATGTAAATGCACATTACTATGTATGTATAACCGGTAAAATTAACTGAATCAGTCAATATTCTATAAATAAAAATGTTAATACCGTTAAAATGTATGACAAAAATATTGTCTTAAAATATGACGCATATTAAAATATAATTATAATTTCTTTCTACATATTAATAAGAGTAATCAATCTTGAAGAACTTGTTGATACATACCTTTAAATATACGCTTACAACCAAGATTGAAGCATTAGAAAAGATAGCTAGTAGGTAAGGTAAGCATACTCAGAAGTTTGCAAGCGTAAGTATGAGCAACATTTAAAACTCACAAGGTGGCCCCGAGAAGATGTTTCTGTAAAAAAAGCTTTGAACTTAATAAGTGCACTCACTGCCAATGGAAGGGTCCAGTGATTCCCTCCTTGAGACGGTCCTTTAGAGAGCGTTGTCGTGAAGGTCCAGGACCGGGAGGTAGCATGCCCGCACCAGGCGGCACTGCTGAGGGTGGTGCTCGCGCGGGTGACGACATGGCGACTTTTTATTCGCTGCGCCAGCGCACTAGCACTTCTGCTCGCACATTAATATGACACCACTCAACAGCCAAACACCATTACAAACGCGCGCTGCAACACAACAGAGACCACCCAAGCCACATAAATAAAAAGAAAGCAAAGCATCACAAAATAAACATACATGAACACGTGTCTAGCGAAAATGCGATAAAAAGGTGATTTGCAAATGAAATTTAAAAAAAAGTGTGATAGAAGCAGTTTAAAGATATTTTACAACTTTTTTTTCATATGGCAGTCTGGATTGTTCAAATAGCTACAGATCCAATTCCTTTCGGGAAAATTTTCTACAATATACCTATAAATGTACATTATAAGCACAAATAAATAACATTTCAGTGGGTCTGTGATAGGAGGGTAAGATTCGTTTTTTTTTTACTTCATCCTATATTGTCATAGAGATGGACTTTACTGTCATGTTTTTATAATATGATTCTTTAAAAAACAACGTAGAAAACAAAAAAACAGTGTACAAATCATTCATACGAGTGTATTTTAAAAAAATTAAGGCAATATCATATTTAGAATAATCACCATTCGTTTTTCGCAGGCGCGTATAAAATTAACTCATAAAATTCTCCATCGTTTACAATTATAATCAAAATAGAACTATACCGACCGACTATACATTATTCAAACCCTATTTACCTGAACTAACTTTCCAGAAAAAAATTATAACGGAAATTATCAAATATTAAAATGAACGTAACAGTTCAAATATGTGCACTATTACATAAACTACAATATTTTAATGCACATTACCTTGCCTTGCAACGGCAGTACCACAACTAAATAATAAACATAGCTAAATATTATTTTCCTTTACGAGTAAATCCTATTATAAATGTTATAGGATAGTTAATTACTTACTTCCTACTTGACACAAGACACGTCTCGGATTATACATAGACACATGTAGACAGGGTAACAAAAATAAAATCACTACATGCTTTTAGAACACACTGTTCTTCAATTTTATTTTTAGCAATATTCAATACTTATCTCATAACCAAATATGTCTACTAAAATGAATAATAATATGTTGACGGCATTCCCAGCCACTCTATTTGTAAACTATAGTTACGAAAATGGACGCCATGATGGTACAAGGGGGTGTTTTTACTAGCACCCCCTGCCGTAAGGGAAACTATATAGAAAAAGTTAAAGAAATAAAATTATATGAGTAAAATCCTTGTTTAAATTTGTATCTAATCTATATTCAAAGAAAAGACGATAAATATGATATGAATAAAAATTAAAAAGTTAATCATTTAAAGATTAGTTAGTAGTTTAATGTGAAGAAGCAGATGGAAATAATTCTGCCGCCGCGCCGCCCATAGTTATGTACATTGTACCTACATGTAATGCTAATGTCCTAATGGAAAATAGGTATATTTTTTGTGTGTATTGTGTTACTCATGAAGTCGCTACATTTTTAGTAATTGTAGCGCTTGTTAGGTACTAAGAGTTTCATTCGATGAATTTTCATCGTTACATTATGCAAAACATCATACTAACACGTATTATAAACGGAAAAGTTTGTGAGGATGTATGAATGGGCATACGTTCGTAACTCGTTCACGAAAACTACTGAACGGATTTTATTTATTTTTATTAGGATAACCAACAAAAGTTACATTTATTCATTTATTTATTAGTTTACATTTACAAAATTAGAGATAAATGCACTTTTTCTTACAGGTTACCATATCATGGAATACAATAATATAAACAAAACATCATTATTAAAAAAATATTAAGAATTATTTATTATTTTGATGAAACTTTACAAGTTATATATATGTAGGTTTTAAATCAGAGAAATACATGGTAAGAATAAGTTATAAGATGGTAAGTACAAGTTATAAGATAGGTATAGTAAGTACAAAATTGAACTAAGACCGAAAGTCGAAAAAAATCGGAGCCGCGACAAAATGCTAGTCAGCTATAATTTTGAAAATAGCAAAGTGTCATCTACTCGATCAGAAATCTCAACTTTAGACAAAGACGTGATTCATATACCTATACAACTTATTATTCCTTGATGTTAGTAGTGGTTTCATAAACCTGTATTACTATCTATATATAGCATGTTTAAGTATAAGATTATCTATACTAATATTATAAAGAGGTTGTGAGTTTGTGACTTTGTAGGGGGGTAGTCTCTGCATCTAGTGAACCGATTTAGATGAAATTTGGTAAGAAAATAGTTGAGATCCTAGGAAGGACATAGAATACTTTTTATCCCGAAAATCATCCCTTAATGGGGTGAAAATGGGGATGAAAGTTTGTATGAGGAATCAAGCTAAGCTAAGCTAGTATAGATTATTGTCTATTATAATCAAACTGTAACATTTAAAAGAATCATCAACTCTTGATATTTAATGCGAATAACATCTTAGCTGTACACAAAAACTCGTTATTTTAATTTCGCGCATAACATTAATTGGCTATCATAACAAAAATTCATTACGATTTGTTGTAGGTAAAATCTGTCTTATAAATATGCTGTTATGCACATACAGTTTTATGAGACTTGTACATACATTTTGTGACGTCGTTGAAAATATTGTAAGTAACCTAAACAAGATACAGGGCAAAAGATAACAATATAATATATACATTTATTATTTTAAGAACATATTAAATATTTTAATAGGTATGTCAAAATTTTACACATTTTTAAATACATATATTTTAAATAGCTACTTTATTGAGAGCATGTTTATGAGGGTCGTTTATACAATCAACTTTGGTAGCGAATACCGTCAAGGCAGAGCGACATGAAGAGGAGAGAGCAGGTATCGATCGGCCCTAACCTCAGCCCGCGGCGCCCCCGCCCTGCCGCCCGCGTGCCTTACGTAAGTCCAGCTGATCGTACCCACCCTGTAACCTTGGCAACGAACTATGTGCACGCTTTCTTACAGTTTTGAAAACATTCTTTAATTCAAAGTCTAAGTAATTATACATGCATTACTTCGTGACTTTTTTATGAAGAAGTGAAACAATATCAAAATATAAATTAATTTACCTAATCTAATATCCACAACGATACGTAATAGATAATTCATGTTGCTTTTAATTTAACTACTGATTACGGACATATTTATTATAATAATATTTACTATATATTCCAAATCAGGAACGTCGTACATGAAAATAAGGTAACGCTGAGGAGGATAAAGCTAAACCGCAATTTATTAAATAGGGATAACTAAAGACATACATTATAATAAGTATACTGAGCGGCAACGCATTTTTGTTTTTGTCAAAATTTTTAACAATTTCATTAATTACATTCTCTGCTGGGCTCGGCTGTTGATAGAAAACATTAGGTACTTGATGAATGAATACCTATGCAAGAGAATAAATAGAAACATAATAATTACAAAAGACAATTCAATTGTAGAGTTGCTGTTATATTCTCCATGTAGCCGAGAATCAAAAGCAGCAAGCGAAACGGAAACGGACGAGTACGACAAAAACTCAACAAAAGTATCTCGGAACTACGCTGCGAAGGTGGAAAATATTTCTACATTTGTACGTGACAGCCCGACGCCCACGTTTTAAACATAAAGGCAGTATTATAGTTCAGTTTTCTTTAATTTCGAGAATAATGGATTATAAAATATAAAACCATTGTAAAAAATCTGTCTATAAATATACTTGATTTTATATTATTGCCAACGCGATGCTTATCACATTGGCATGTGGCCATCAATATGCTAATCAAGTACTTTGTCACGGATCATTTCATTGCACTTTTAATATTTCCTTATTAACTAGTAACTTTTAACGAGAAAGTTACACACATTTTTAAATACAGAAATCGAAATACTCAAATCTCTCGCCAGTGTTAACACATAGCATACACTAAACAATAACGCATAATACAGTTTTTGTCTATATGATATCTATGTGATTAAATAAATCATGTTTATTAACTAAACGTATGTGTGAATCTAACATTACTGTTATAATAATGAGACGAACTGTTATGAATAAAACTATAAATGATGAAAACATCCGTATTACATATGATGAGATATGATGTGCAAAAGCATCTAATGTGGTCCATGCATCGATGCCACGAACCAAAGTGCGATATTCGCATGAAGAAGCGCTGACGGTGGGTTAAACGACATATCGCGCACACGTCTACTTCGATGGCTGGAAACGTGCAACTGTACGACAAAGGGGTGGACAGCGGGGTGCGGTACAGGCGGCGCATGACGATGGCGCCCGACGTGGTAGCTCATCCGTTTGGCCCGTCTTTATAATCACAGAACGATTTATGGACGTCGTGGAAATTTACAGGAGGTTATTTAGAACTTAAAAAAAACAATATAGCATGGCATGAAATGACAGTTGTTATCAATAAACAGAAGTAAATCTAAATATTTTCCAGAAACAATTTTTGTGCTTATTAATTTCGAAATATTTTAATAAATATTAACTATGTACTTAAGCAAAGTAGCATCTAATCAATATAGAAAATTCATCAAAAAGACTTTTTTACATGACATGACAAGAAAAGTAAAAACTGATTGATCAATTTATGATTAAAAAAAAAGGATAAAATTAAAACAAGTTACTAAATAGTTTGTGGTCCTTTTCCAACACGAACCGTACACGACCTGCACAGGAAATAATAATCTTGTTAACTTTACCATAATAATAGACCACATCCTTAAATCAACAAATCTATGACCCCACGAGATTGACGCGTGTAGTTAGTTTCTTATTGGGTCAGTAGTGATATTGATTTTTAAATTACAGTGCAGTGCAATCAATGATTTAGTTAGTGTCTTCCACGTCATCATATAATCTACGTTTTGGATGAACGTTTTATTATGTGTCTCTTCTTACAAATGGTTACATTTTAAATCAAGATAAGTAGCATTTGTTTACTTAAAAGTGGTAAAAACCTTAATAATTTGTAACTATATGTACGTGATACTATTTTTTACCAATTATGTTTTGTAAATATGGAGAATTACAAACAAAGCTATTATATATATTATGACATAATATAAAAATACAAGGCCTATTTCTAATAAAACAAAAAAGAACATAAAATTGGAAATGCAAAACTTAGTAGGTACCTACAGGAATTTTTAGAAAATTAGAACCTAATAGCAGCCGAATAGCCGGAAAGAAAGAGTTTATCTCACGGAAACGAGTTAAAAAAAACAAAAGCGATACCTGGGCGATAATTTAAAAAATCTCCGTAAGAAGTGTCTGCAAACATTACCCTTCAAAATAATTTGTTCCATATTTACTCGATTACGACCATTTTGGATCGTAACCCATTGGCAAACCGTGAGACCTGTGCTTGCAAATATCATGAGAACATGGACCTCTTACTTGTTGCTCTAAGAAATGCAAATATACCTACCACTGTGCATAATTATCGAAGTATGCTGGAAATGCTTCGTTGTGAATTTGTGATCGATACTCTGAAAACAGTCTCGATAGAACTTATGCAGACTATAGCTTAAAAAGTTTAACTTACGCGGTATTCGATAATTCAAAGTCGTACAGTGGATAAATAAAAAGGAGCCGATATTCTATATCTATACATATAATAAAATTGTAACTAAGCCGAATCTGTACATTAAATATTTTTTGGAAAATCTTATTGAAGTAAACACTATTATCGATACAGAGGCCGAATCTACAGTTTTTAGAATTTTTGTCTGTCTGTCTGTCTGTTACCGCATCACAGAAAAACCACTGGAGGGATTTTGATAAAATTTGGTATGGTGTTAGCTGGTTATCCGGGTCAACATATAGGATACTTTTTACCGCGGGAAAATATCGCATTTTGAGAAAAATACAAAAACTGCAATGTAAGAGTATACTAATGTGTAAAACCTAAGAATTTGGTTTTCGGTCATCTGAACGCGGCCGGGCCGCGGGCAATGCTAGTATATAATAAAATTGTAACTAAACGGGATCTGTACATTAAATATTTTTTGGAAAATCTTATTGAAATAAACACTATTATCGATACAGAGGCCGAATCTACAGTTTTTAGAATTTTTGTCTGTCTGTCTGTTACCGCATCACAGAAAAACCACTGGAGGCATTTTGATGAAATTTGGTATGGTGGAAGTTAGTTATCCGGGTCAACATATAAACATTTCTGAGAAAAAATACAAAAACTGCAATGTAAGAGTATCCTAATATGTACAAGCTAAGAATTTGGTTTTTGATCATCTGCCATGCATGCAATGCTAGTCGATAATAAGACAAAAAAGCTAGTTACAAAGTGTAAGGAAACACAGATAATTTCACCCAATAAAGTCATTGCAAAACTTAAAAACAATATTACTAATTTTTTCCTACATGCAACTCATGTATATCAGTTCAATAAAATCAAACAACCTAAGGAGTCTTTATCAGAGAACAATGCCATAGTAAATATGGACATTTCCGAAAAATTTTCTGCAAAATAGAACCAGGAAATCCAAACATAATTTTTGAATTACTTTGCATAAATGTTAAATTACATTTTGGTCGTTTATCTAAAAAAGGCTATTACTTCACACCGTACAATGTCATCTACAAGTAATTTGTCACATAATGTTAGAGCAATTTATCAATGATCATTTCAAGCTATGATCTATTAACTACAAGACAGAGGTTCCAAATACACATCTGAATTTTTCTAGTGTATTTACAGACTCTAAAGACAACGATGTGCCACTTTCAACAAAATATGTGACAAGCAATGATAGTCATCAGAGCTTCAATTAATATGAATCTTTGCTAGGAGTTAGCGACTGCATAGACACAACAAAAGATTTGTTATATAGCGGAGAGTATGTCTTAGTCAAATATATAGCACGAAAATCTGAGTATTGTTATGCTGGAGTCTGCCCTTTTGTTGATAAAAAAGATGGAGAATTAAGAGTGACTTTTCACATATTTTGTAATACTGATGGTACTCTGTTTAAGATATTATTTTAAGCAATAAATCTTTAATATTCCAATAAATGGTGTATTTATTCAGTATTGTACTAAACCTCATCACTGCCCTGGGATTCAAATTTAGAAAAATACAGATATCTCAGAAACTGTTTGAAAAACAGACTGGGATATTATATGTATTTATTATATTTATTATAATAAAATACTATTTACTTTCACCAAAACCTATAGAAACAAAATGAGGTCAACAGATGCCTAACTTGTGTAAAATCACTCATATAAAAGAAAAAAAATTTAATACTTTTCATTGGTAAGTGCATCACTGAACCCAATAAGCTATTTTTTTAAATATGTTTGTCTATTCAAATTATTGAAAAAAATGTAAATATTGCCTGAAACATTGAAGATGTTTCTTTTCAAATTATTTTTGTATGTTATAAAAGATACACGTATTTTTTTTTATTTAGATATGACATCTATATTTTACTGAAAATATTTTTTAAATTTTGACTAATTATTCAAAGAATAGAGGAACAATAGAGGTTCTAAAATGTTATGTGGATGATAAAAATAATATTTGTTTACAAACAAAATATGTTATATATTTTAAAAAAATTCCACTGTGAAATACGTACTGAAGACTGATAATAAAATGTATTTTATCTCTCAGGTTCAACAAACAACAGTTGTTATCTATAACATGGCAGACATCTGCTTGGAAGCTGGAGATGTGTTGAACAAACCAATAAAAGAGATTTTGATGTTTATAGTTCATTATTAGAAATAAAATATTTATTAATCAGTAAAACCATTGTCATAAAATTTCAATAATAAAAATTGGTAGATAATTAAAAAAAAAAATTTGTATATATTAGAAACTTTATCATTAAACAATTATCTGAAACTTTATTTTTTATATATATTTTTTGTAATGTTTTAAATATAATTATCTAAAAACGAGAAAACTTATCATACATTTTTTATTACATACAGGGATTCTCATTTAAAATATTAAGTTCCTTTATGGTTCTTAAGAACTAAGTACAGGGTCAGAGATTTAATGTTAAAAAAATATGAGTATGATAAATAATAATGATAGGTACAATTTCCTAAGTACAAATCTACTACTAAATTGAACTTATAAATATATTGATCTAAATAAACTTTAACATTTCTACTTACATGATTTAACTGGAACTTCTAGTAATGATGACTGTGACTATCACAATATTTATAAAGTCAGATGAGCGATAACATTGTGCATAAAAACCGGCAATTCTATTTTTTATAGTTTATTTGATAAACACTACTAAAGAGCGACTCGATAAGCAAGAAGATAAACTATTTTTGATCTGTAAAACATATCGGTAATCAATAATATCTTTTTATAATCCAATTGCACCAATCCGGTTAAGTTATTTATGACAAAATAGCTTTTTTAAGTTCTAATATCTATGATATAAATTAATTTTGGCAAGGTGAATAAAATCAAAATACGTTCTAGAGATTTTGTGCACTTTTAACGCAAAATTCAAGATTAAAATTAAAATGAACTGTAAACTTCTGCGCGTATTTGTCAATTTGTACACATACACATTTATTGAAAAGTGAAAACAAAGATGCGGTAAGTAACGCCATCTAGTTATTAGTTTAATTTTATTCTCTATGGTTAAATATAGTTACGGTCATATCAAAGAGTATAGTTATAAACTGGGAATAGTATGTAACTCTTTTTGTTACAGCTAGATAGTAAGTAGATACTAGTTAGTTTACGGGATTACACATTTTTATATTCCAAAGATATCTATTAAAATAGATTTGAGTGTAAAATTAACAATACTTTACGCTATACCTCATAATTAATTTTGTAATTAACGTATTGAAGTTGTTCATATAACGTTATGATAACGTTTATTATTCATATGACCTGGAACTCTTTAAAGGCTTCTCTTAGGAAAACTCGCTATATCGTAGACCTTATCCATGGTTTCGAGCTAAGATGAAGGTCAAGAGTAAGCCTATTTCTAATTAAAAATAACTATAATGATATCGTCAATAAGTATGTGCAATTTTACTATGTACGTAATATAGAATACGTAAATCTGAAATATATATATCATCGATCACTAATAAAGAAATAGATACACAAACAGCAAAACAGATACACTTGAACATTTGGGTGCGCTTTTAATTTAGTTGCATTCTGCATTCGAACTTTTATTTGTCATCCATGATTCGAACGCTCCGACGGTAAACACTAAACGTGCTTCAGTGCTCGTTTAAAATTTACAAAAATCATACATCCAGGACACTACCAGTGTATTGTAAATAATGATATTTTGTTAAGAAATCATCGTAAAAACAGTTTTTAAATTAAGTCGTAATAAACAGACAGCAGGAGCAAACAGCTTATAAAGCATCTTAATAATTGTAAAGACTTACTAAACGTATTCATACTATCGCAGGCCTACTTAAATTGTTCGGGTTATATGCGTCGATTCTGTTGCATTTTTTAAATTTTTTGGTACTTTGTAATACTAAGAAATGTGTGTAACTTGTAAGGTTGAATTTGCTTTGATATATGTTGACCAGCAAGTCATTTGTATTTTACTAGCAGAACCCGCGGCTTCGCTCGCGGTAAAACTAATCCCCTATTTTACCCACTTATAGTATGATTTTCGAAAAATGCTAAAACACGTATTTATTTAATAGTAATTCTGTTCATAAATAATTTTTGGGTTATATTATAACGTGTAATGTTCCCGTGGTAATGAGATAATCTCCCGCGGTAAAATGTAGCCTATCTCACTCTCCAGCCCTCCAACTATTCTCTACACAAAAAATCACGTCAATCTGTCGATCCGTAGTCGAAGTCGATCCTTAAACATAATGGTGACAGTTTTAAGACAATTTTTGCATGGGATTATGTGTGTAGTTCTTTATTAGTGCTTGATGAGATAAACCTATTGGGGATTCTTAAATCGCGTGTATTGACGTTTTGGTTTTATTTATCATTGTCTTTTTGGGTCTACGAGCAACTAGATCACCAGTTGTGATGCGATATTTAATAGCGGGAATTAATTTAATACTCACTTCCCCACACACACAAAATTACGTGCGCGTACAATTCAAACATGGTAGAAGTCAAACTTCATAAAAGTAACCTACGAAAGGATGAGATGAAAATAGAGTATCAAGAGTAATATTATTACGAAGTTTATTTTTTTTATAATATTTTTACCAAGTTTAAAAGTTATTTTACATTTTACTTTACATTTTTGACATAAATATATTTATATGTATATATAAACTAGCGCCTCACACTCACTTCGCTCGGGTTCGTCGCTAGGTACGTTTTAAAAATATATAAAAATTAGTCCAGCCGTTCTTGAGTTATAAATGTTGTAACTAACACGTTTTTTATTATTAAAATTTTCCATATACCGGAACATACGAAAAAAAGTATTAGCTGAATTGAATTGGTCGAGCCGTTCTCGAGTTTTGCGCTTAGCAACATTCATTTTTATTTGTATAGATTACATATTATTTAGTAATTAATTTTACCATTTTTAACTCCTGTGTAATGTATTCTATCTCAATCTCTCGCCGGCTTAATATTTATAAGTTTGTGTCTTTTAAGGGTCGCATTTTCGTTTAATCGAATTTCAAATCACAACGATTCTAAAGAAGTTTCACTTCAAAAATGTGTGTATTTTCCACGCAAACGATTAATTTTGTAGTGTAGTTAATGTAAATTCCCAATATAGACCTAACTAGAAACAAATGTAACTTCAATCCCATAATTTTAGCTACATTATAGTTGACCATAGAGCAGTACAATATTTAAACGTCAATACGTCATTGTCAGTGTGATACTTTAGGATAGACAATCTGTTGCAGGCGCTGGTTCGATATGTTTAATTGATTAAAATTATACAATATTGCAAACTAAAATTATGTTTCTTTTATAAATAAGGAAGCAGTGCACGTTAAAAAATTAGTAACAAAAATCTCGTACAGCATCAATGCATTTAAAAAAAACAAAATGTAAAAGTAAAATCTATACTATCCATTTCATTATAATCTTATCGCATTGATTAAATGATAATACGTTACACTGTGTATATAGAATAATTTACAAAAATAGTGACGAATAAAAATATTAATGCGAAATGTACACTATGTTTTGCAATGACGAAGACGAGGCATATCCTCTTCACGAGTGCGTGTTCGTTGGAGACGTCCGTAAATTATCATCGCTATTACGATTTAACGATGTAACTCGAAAAGATAAACATGGAAATACCGCTTTACATCTAGCAGTTATGTTAGGCCGTAAGGAATGTGTACAACTATTGTTGGCACATGGAGCACCTGTTAAAGTTAAAAATCTCGCAGGTTGGTCTCCGCTAGCAGAGGCTATCAGCTATGGAGATCGTCAAACTATATCCTCCCTTGTACGTAAACTCAAACAACAAGCACGGGAGCAAATGGAGTGTAGACGACCCGATCTTATTAGGGCCCTATCTCAGATTCAAAACTTTTACATGGAATTAAAATGGGACTTCCATTCATGGGTACCTTTAGTTTCTAGAATATTACCATCAGATGTATGCAAAATATACAAATCAGGGTCTGGAATAAGGTTAGACACAACTTTAGTTGATTTCACCGATATGAAATGGGAAAGAGGTGACATATCTTTCATTTTCCAAGGAGAGAAGCCTCCAAGTGAGTCTCTTACAGTTCTTGATAACAAAGTCAAAGTTTATCAACGAGTTCGATATGAAGAAACAGAAAATGAGATAGAAGATGAAGTGGACATTCTTATGTCAAGTGATATTTTAGCAGCTCAGATGTCGACAAAAGGAATTTCATTTGCTAGAGCTCAGTCAGGCTGGATTTTTCGTGAGGACCGTAAGGAAACTGTTGCAGGACTTTATAAAAGTGACATTTATACTATAACAGGTCTTGTGTTAGAATCACGTAAAAGAAGAGAACATTTATCCACTGATGATTTACAAAAAAATAAAGCTATTATTGAAAGTTTGACTAAAGGCAACACTCAAAATTTAGATACTAATGGTGAACCAGTAAGGCGTGCTTCATTAAATCCTCCACCAGAAAGTGGTATTGACTGGCCAACTTACATATCATCTCCTATTGGTCAATACCCAAGCTTGGGAAGAGAGTTGGTATATAAAGAATCTTCAAGAAATTTTCGAGCTACTATTGCTATGAGTGATGATTTTCCTTTAAGTGTAGATATGTTGCTAAATGTGTTGGAAGTAATTGCGCCTTTTAAACATTTTGCTAAGTTACGCCAGTTTGTGGCTCTTAAACTACCCAAAGGTTTCCCTGTGAAAATTGATATACCTATTCTTCCAACAGTCACAGCAAAAATTACGTTCCAAAGATTTGATTTCCGTGACGATATACCTGGAGAATTATTTGTTATACCAGAAGACTATGTAGAAGATCCATTACGTTTCCCTGACTTATGACGCTTTGATATTCTAACACTGTTTGAAATTAGTGAAAGACCAATTTGGCAATGTGAAGTTAAGTGTGGTCGGGGAAGGCGTAGTAACATTAGTGACAAGCACTACAAGTCTGCACATGGTTTTCTCACTATTGAGATACCAATGTTATTTGGCCTTGGTAGTTCATATTCCAGCCATTATGTCCTTTTTGTAGAGTAGAAACAATTTATTATTGATTTGTACATTTTTCATAAATTGTATTTCTTAATTTTTGTAAAAACAGTGTTAGAATTAATTTAAATAAATTTTATTTAATTTTATTGTATACAAATTCTTTGTAATAATATTTCCTGAAAAAATCTATCATTTTTATATAAATCACTTAAATATGAATACATGTGTTATTATTAGATATTTGAATTAAATATGAATTTTAGTCTGAGCCTTCACTATTGAATTTTATTGAATGAATTTGAACACAAGAAAGTTTGCCCATTTTAATGCCTGTTCTTTTTATATAAAATAGATGTTAGTATATGATACATCTCTAATGTTAGATGGCCTGAAAGTAATTTACACATTTTACTAGGCCTACTCTACCTAGAAATTTATTAAAGCATTTAAATAAAAATTTACCTTTAACTAGGTGCAACAAAAATTTATTTGTCAATTAGCTGAAATATGTATTTGCAATTTATTATGAGTACAATTTATTGAATTTATACAGGTTTATGAGAGTATGTTATGTCTAGAAAAACTCCCTTCATTTTAACTTATAATTTGAATACCTACTTATACCTTTGAACAGGTTTTGTTACATTTGCATCATCTGATAAGAAATTTCATACGAGTATATGCACAATGGTCACGAAAGTATTTTATTTTCTAACATTATGAATGTATATCATTAAAATATATGAAAAAATTACGAAATTGCTACTTCCTTTTTTACAAAGCTTAACATATGAAGTGGAGCTAAAAATAACAAAAGAGTATTCTTTATTGAAAAAGTTCCTGTATTATAAAGTTCAAAAATTATGATTTTTTGATCTTCATGACAATATTTGATAAGTAGATTATTAGATAATTTATAATAAGTAGTGTTTGAATTTGATGAGTGTTAGATATTTACTACAATCCAAATAACTCAGTGAGAGTTATTTGGATTGTAGTATTACAAATGTTAGCAGCCCCAATCATTTCAAAGTCCTTGTGCCTTCAGAATTTTTATTTGTAGTGATGTGTCTTATTGTTAAGGAATGGTGTTCGTCATTTGAAGGCACAATCATTAGAAAATTACAATTTTAATTGTATAATATCATATCGCCCTTAGCACATGCAAAGTAGAAATAGTCTCACTTGAAAATGTACCTGTAAATATAAAAACATAATACCTATATCAATTTTAAATGTATAGTATAAAATATAAATGTATAATATTACATCTACTTGTATCTATTTGACAATAATATTTTGAATCCCATCGCAAAAAAACTAAAATCAAATCTCTTATTTGTTGTCTTTATTTAGAAAAAATATATGCTGTAAACTCAATGGTATTAAGAATTTTGAAATGTTATAATAAATGATAAAAAACGTATAAGTTTCATTTTTCTTGCTTTCATTAATAGTGATATGGCTCATGGCAGTCATGCTGATAACTTTTGGCTTGTTTCTTTCAAGGTGAATTTGTTGAAAATGTTATGTGAAATTGAGATCTCGCATTTGAAGCAGAGGTGTAATCGTAAGATTACACCTCTATACTATATATATTAGATAGGAATACTTTACAAATAACATGTACATACAATTTGTTTATATAGGTAATGAGTACCAAAATTAGGATTAAATATTTAAGAATATCTATTGGACATGTACATAAATATATATACACAATATACATACATATATTGTCAAGGCAGTGGTAGCACAGTGCTAACGCTCTTGTTTGGAAATCAAGTGTAGCGGGTTCAAATCCCGAGTTCTGCACCTCTGATATTTTTGTGTAAATTATTTTCAACAAGAGTTGAAAACTTGTATTACTTATGGACATGTAAAAAATTAGGTATAACGTTATTTTTGTTTGTTTTTTGTTGTTTGGGTCGATTTTTTGAGCATACTCCCGATAAATAGTGAAAATATTGGATGGAAAAAACTAGTACAAATAAAAAGCAAAGAAAAAACTAGTACAAATAAAATCCATTAAAGCAGATAAATATTGAATTTCGTAATAAATGTAACTGGCTAGTGAATCAAACTCCATTTTATATAAAAAAAATCTTTATTCCAAGAAAATAAATATTAACAAACTATAATTAATTTAACATTATACAAAAAATTATATATTGGAATATGAAATCGACGTGGGTGTAAGATCGTTATCTCAAGGACTTGCGCGCGGCGTTGGAGGGCGGCAGCGTCGGCGCGGCCTCGTCCAGCCCCAGCGAGATGACACGCAGCGAAATTGTTGACCGCCGTGCTTCAAAAATACTTGAATATTAGCCGCTGATTTAAAAAAATATACTATAAATCAATTTCCGCGATATTTCCATGAGATAAAGGAGCACTTTATAAGCCTAAAACCAAGTTTGAGGGATCGTCTGGGAGGCGCTGGCGCCACTATCGCCAAAAACGCGTTTTATTTAAGACTAGCGACTCACCCTCACTCTCGGGTTTAGCACTACTTACGTTTTAAAGTTTAGTATAGATTTCTCAGCGATGAGATATTTTCCCGCAGTAAAAAGTATCGTATATGTTGACCCGGATAACCAGCTATCATACCAAATTTCATCAAAATCTGTCCAGTGGTTTTGTCGCGATGCGGTCACATGTACAGACAAAAATTCTAAAACTATAGATTCCGTCTCTATATTGAAAACTATTTCAATAAGATTTTACAAAAAAAATTTAATGTACAGATTCAACTCGGCTAGAATTTTATTATATAATTAATATTTCTCGAGATATACAAAATTGATAAAAAGGAGTAATAGGTAAAAACCCATGTTACAGGCCACCAGGTCTCCCTCTTAGGACGTTAATACAGTCTATATTAGTTATTTAGTTCATGTTACGCTCTAAGGTAGAATAAAACAAAATTACTGTATAAATGTCCAAGAATTGTACATTAAGTTTTGTTTGTCCATTAATTATCTATGTCCTAAACTAAAATAATTTAAAACGTTTTTGTTGATTTTTTTATTATTTATTTTAACCTACATGGTCGCTGTCGAATATCAATATAAAATTAAAATAGGTTTACTTCAGACTAATAATCATGAATGTCAACGTTTGTGACATGTGAGTGTCGTGTTTCTTACGCTTTACTTCTTTACGATGTATGGGTTCAACAGCCTTACGTGAAATTTGGAGCTGAGATAGTTTATATCCTGAGCTAATAGGTATATTTTAATACCAAAAGCTCAAGCGGTATCTCCATATAAGACAGAGTTCAAATATTTTTTTCTACTCTTATCTAATACTAGCTGTGCCTCGCAGTTTTTTTTTATACTATTCAGAATTAGTGCTTGACTACGTTCCACCTGATGGTAAGTGGTAACGCAGTCGTAGATGGTAAGTCGCACTAATTCAGTAGCCACCTATTCACTCTTGCCTTGAAGACAGCCATATTATAATCGGACGGAAACACCGACGCAGGCAGGTTGTGCCAATCCTTAGCCGTACGTATAATAAATGACGTAGCGAAACGCTTCGTGCGGACGAGTGGAATGTCCACGACATAAGGATGGAGACCAGCCGTTCGTCGGGTTGTCCGATGATGGAAAGGGGATGGGGGAATTAATTCATGTAATTCCTGCGCACACTCTCCGAAATGTAACCTATAGAATACACAAAGGCTGGCAACCCTACGTCGGTGATCGAGGCTTTGTAAGTTAGCTTTTACCAGCGTAGGGTCACCTATAAGCCTTTGAGCACGCCTCTCAATCGAGTCCAAGGCTGACAGATGGCATTTCGCAGCACCAGCCCATATGTGGCTACAGTATTCCACACACGACCGGACTTGCGCTTTATATAAAACAAGAAGCTGTCCCGGCGTGAAATACTGTCGTACCTTTGCAAGGATGCCAACTTTCCTCGCAGCGACATTAGCCTTAGACTCGATGAACCGCCCGTAGTTCATGTTAGGGCTGATGTCCATCCCTAACAACTGCAGACGTTCTGTGTATTCCAAAGGCACATTCCGGAAAGTAGGAGTCAAGGTGAAAGGACTCCTTTTAGTGGTGAACAGGCACGCCTGTGTTTTGGTGGCATTGAAACTCACAAGATTGGCATCGCCCCAAGTGAACACTGCTCTGAGTGTGAGATTCAACCGCTCTACCATGGCCTCTCTTTCGGACTGAATTTGATCTCTACTGGCCCGAGGATTCGGCAGGTATATCTCTACAATAGTGCTGTCGTCTGCGTACCCATAGATACCGGGTATAAGCAGATCGTTAATATGCAGCAGAAACAAGGTTGCTGAGAGAACAGACCCCTGAGGAACTCCTGAGTTGGTCTTTAAGGGTTGTGATGAACAACCATCAACCACAACTCTGAGTGATCGGTCGCTCAGGAAGTCTTTAATCCAGCCGATCAGGCCAGGAGATATGCCATAGGCTGAAAGCTTATTTATAAGGCTAGCGTGCCAGACCCTGTCAAAGGCCTTTGAGACATCGAGGGAGACGGCAATCGCCTCCCCGCTTCGGTCAATAGTTTCGCCAAAGGTGTGATTGGCATACACTAGAAGGTCCCCAGTCGACCGATTCCGGCGAAACCCATATTGTCGATCACTGAGGAGATCGTTCTGTTCTAGGTATGCCATAAGACGAGTGTTCAATACACGCTCCATAATCTTGCAGAGTATGGAGGTGATTGAGATCGGACGATAATTGGCAGGGTCAGCACGGCTTCCTTTCTTGGGCACTGATTGCACATTGGCAAGCTTCCAGGATTTAGGCACTATTCCAGTCTTAAGAGAAAGGCGGTACAGGCGTGTCAGTATCGGAGACAACTCGGGAGCACATGTTTTAAGGACTATCGCTGGTATACCATCAGGACCACTGGCTTTATTCACATCTAGACGACACAATACTCTCTTAACCTCCTTATTAGTTATCGCAATCTCAGGCATTGAGATCCCGCAGTGAGGTAGATGTGGTGGAGTAGCATTGCCAGAGTCTAGACATGAATTTTGGGCAAAACGAGAGGCAAGCAAAGTCGCCTTTTCCTTTGCCGTATGAGCCAGGGATCTGTCAGATTTTACCAGCGGTGGCAGTGAGGGCCGAGAGAAGTTCGTCTCGACAGCTTTGGTAAGGGACCAAAAAGCTCTGCTGCCAGATGGTTGGGCAGAGAGCTTTGCGCCAAAATGTGTAATTCGGTCAAGACGAGCCTTCTTTAATGTCTTTTTGTGGGACTTGGCGGCTAAGTTAAAGGCTCTCTTCTTGGATCTTACATCCGGAGCTTTGCGGTCTCGAGCATCAACCCAGGCAAGGTAAGCCGATTGCTTACGCTTTTCAGCAAAGGTGCATTCGGCATTAAACCATGGGCGAGCTTTGCCACCAACGGGTACATCAGAGAACGGGATAAAATATTCCATCGCTTGATGCACCACATCAGTTATAGCATCCGCACAGCTCGACGGATTGGAAGAAGAGAAGCAGACCTGCCGCCAAGGAAAGGATGCAAAAAAATGTCGCATCTCATCCCAATCTGCTGACTTGTATTGCCCTAACGCCAGTAGAATCGTTATCTGGTGGAGAGTAAGACGATACAGTTTTTACCAGACAGTGGTCAGAGCTACCCAATGGGGATGAAACCTGGATGTTATATCTGTCTGGATCAGTTGTCAGCAGAAGGTCCAGACAATTAGCTGAGTGGCCATCTACATCGGGTACCCTCGTCGCTTGTTCAACCAACTGGGAGAGTCCAAGTGATACCGCAAACTTCCACGCTTCTCTCCCAGCATGGTCCGTCTTCTGGTATGGGAACAGCCAATCTTCATGATGGGCGTTAAAGTCCCCCAGAAAGACAAGCTGCGCGGTGGGGTACCGTTGCATAGCCACATCAGCGGCCTCACTGAGATGTTCAAACAATCGAGTTGTCTCTTGGTCACCTATGTGCGATCGGTAGACACAGGAATACAGGATCTTTTCGATTCCTGTATCTACGATAACCCAGATCGTAGAAAATGTGTGGTCTTCAAGGTGGCGGAGGCGCTGGAAACAGAGGTCATTTCGCACGTACAAACAGACCCCGGCCCGTGAGCTGAAATTATGCTCCAACGTGTAGCCGGGATAGTCCAGATACTCAGCACTCAATGGACATTGAATCTGTGTCTCCGTCAGAAAGAGCATGTGTGGCTGCGCAGTCTCGAGGTGGAAGTGGACTGATGAGAAATTTGTGTGCAATATCGGATATTTGTGAAATGCACTTTTAATGAGGGGGAGTGCAAACGCTTAAAAACATAACTCTTTTTTCGGCTTTTCATGTAAATTTTTTAATGAAAGAGTGAATAGGATGGAGAATGGCAGTTGAACGAGGCGCTGCACGAGCCTATTGATGATGTAATGTCACAGAGGGCTTAGTCTGGAGATTGCGGGGACGCCCGAACCCCCCCAAGGATCGCCATCGGGCCCCCTCCCCTGGTCGCCAACCAGCACGATGGAGCCACCCTAGGATTTTTCACAGATGGCGGGGCAGCCTTTCATGGGTGGCTAGCCCACTAGTTGGGCCCCCAACTGTCTGCGGTCGGCCAGCGGCAAGCCGTGCTTCGGATCCCGCTACCCTCCGCGACTTAGCTCTCGACACAACAAACAACAATTCACCACCAACACAGCTAGTGTACAACACAACTATTCAGACCCATTCTCCATACGGCTTCATCAGCCTCGACATGCCGGAACGCGCTGTTGGGCGCTTGGCGGCACGACTTCTGCTGACGGGTGGTAACCGTGCCGTCGGCCGATGTTGAGGCCTACCACCGCGACTACCATGGTGTTCGGTAGTTTGTCCCTTAGTCTCCTTTTACGACAACCACGGGAAGATATGGGTTGGCCATATTCTAATTGCCGTAGCCACACAGCAAAAGTTTCACTCGCGTTAAATATGTTTGACTATAATCATCAGTTTTATAATAATGTAAGGAATGAAAAAAATGTGGAAGTCTGCCCGGTTTGTCATTTATGATTACTGCTCTTTTTTTCTAGGGTCAATAAACGGGCTATCTAATGCAAAAAGAATTTTTAAAATCTGATTAGTAGTTCCTGAGATTAGTGCGTTCAAACAAACAAACTCTGCCTCTTTATAATATTAGTATAGATTTACCTTGTTCACGGATATCGTCGACCAGCTGAAAAATATATTAATAAACATTAAATTTTTTATAAATATCATATGACTAGTGTCTCACTCTCGCATCGGTGGAGTCGTCCTAGGTGTTTTTTGGTATGCATATATATATGCTATGTTTATTGCTTTAATATAATTCGTTAAACAGCGCACGTTGATAAAGCAACTCAAGGTAAGTTTTTTCCGACTTCAATTAAAGTTATTATGATTTTTTACAGAAAACACATTTTTATCGGAACATTCGAAAATTCTTTAACTAGTTTACTAAACTAGTTAAAGAATTTTTGGAATTTAATTAGTAATTTCAAAGATTACGACGTAAATCTAAGCTAACAAACTTTACTTCTTAATTATATCAGTGAAGGGTTTATTAAGAGCATATATTTTACCCCCCCTGGATCGTGTATGTCTACGTACCTACTGTTGTCGATAAAGTTATGTTTGAGTCAGGTTACGAGTGTCACGAATTACTTTACAATATATTATGTGTTAACTTATAAAAAAATTGAACTGCGCGCCCGATCCACTTGTATTCATACAACACGCTAGAGCAGCAAGCAACCGGTGAGCTCCACGCTCGCCCGCCACTCGCTGCCGCGCCAACGGCTTACGAAGATTATCGAATCTAGTCTAGCGTTTGTGTACTGGCCTGCGAGCTCGTATTTGACATGTTATTGTTTTGAAAGGGCCAAATAATCAATGCACATATCTATACATATAATAAATTGTAACTGATCGCTATCTGTACATGTAAGATATTTGAGAAAAACTATTATTGGGGGTTTTTATTAACGCGATAGAACCCAAAACAATGATTTTTAGAATTTGTGTCTGTTTGTCTGTGCGTTTGTGCGCGCTAAACTCAGAAACGGATTAACCGATTTGGGTGCAGTTTTCATTAATATATTGTAGTAAGCTTCACTTAATATTTAATATTTGTTTTATTTCAATCGGTTCATAAATAAAATAGTTATGTCAATTTAATAAAAAAACACAAGAAACATTTATTGGAAAAAAGGTGTGTATACTTATTTACGCACGCAAGAAGTTATACTTCTTTATTTTTTTAGATCATTTAAATAAAAGCTTGTTTTTTGAAATGTTTTAATTTTTTTAATGTTTTTTACTTTTTTTTCGTATTCTTCTCAGCAAACCCTTTCACTTGATATCCATATAGACCAGGGCTGAGGCCTTTGAAAATGGTAAAAAGTGAAAAAAAATAAAAGTAGGATGAATCCCATTGGAAAAGGAAGAGAATATAACAAAAATGAAAAGAAAAATATTTAACGGGCGATCTGAGGTCAGGAAGTGGGAAGAGGTGAATTTTTAAGGGTAAAAAACGGTTTATCTCGATTTCCGGCAAAACTATAAGTGTTATGTGAAAAATTCAAGTTTTTGGTTTTTTATTTTTATCTTTTACAAAAAAAATCATTCACGAAATTCAGTGAAATCTTACCTTTTTATGTCCCAGTAATACAGTATTTTTTTTTATTTAAAATATTTATTTTTTCACCTTATTTTGGCTTAATATCAAAAAAGCACCCTAATTTTCAATCGAAAATTGATAACTCTAAAATGGTAATTATTTCTTTTTATTATCATATTACTGAAATTACAATAATTGTTAAGGAAATTATTTTTCTATTACAGGAATCTCTGTCCAATAATCCATAAGTTGCAAGCCTTTTTTAGTAAAACCCCTTTGTTTGTAAAATATTTTGTTTTACTCTGTTTTATTCATTTAGCTATTAAAAATTTACATTATAGTTAGCGTGCATTGTTTGTACAAAACAAAGACTATTTACAATGTCATACATATAGTTTACTTGATGTAATTCTGTTTCATATTTTTGTTATTTTATATTAAAAAAATACAAAGCAGAAAAGGTTATGATATCTGAATTGTCAAAGAAAGATAGGTGTCATATTTCCGTGGAATTAAAAATCAGACTTTAGTCTAGTATATAATTCATATTTAGAATACGGAATGTGAACAGTGAACAGGTTACCGCGGGCTCGCGCAGGCGCGGCGCGAGGCGGCGGCGCAGCGCGGCCAGGCGGCGGCCGGCGCCCGATGCCGCGCTCGCGCCGCTGCCGCTCGACGACGATGACACAGAGAGTTCACTCTCTGCAATTTTATCATTTCAATGTAAACTTGCGATTACTCTCATTGCTCGGGTGCATCCCTAGGTACGTTTTATTTTTTATAGCGGAACCATAATTTATTTTCTAAAATAAAAGTAGCCAAAGTTACTCCTTATGACATCAGCTATCTGCCAGTCCTGTTAAAATTGGTCCAGCCTTTACGGAGATTGGCCGAAATAAACACAGACAGACAGAAAAAAAAGTTGTTTTTTTTCTTATAAGTACTGTTCTTATATAGTTTCATATGCATTTAGTAAAAAGCTAGTATTTTGACATAACAAACAAGACACTTTACAATTTTATTCTTCTGTATAGACTGCTTTATCTGTAGGTACGTTTTAAATAAATAGAAATTGTTATTGCGAGTGTGACTTAGGGGATAGACATCGACAGAATCAATAATTATTGTTTTCACGTGGGAATGAAGACTTTCTTGCAGTAAAGGATATTCTAAATGTTACCCGAGTAGTAAGCTATCAGAGTAAATAATAAACTAAAAATTATAGAAATTATATTTTAAATTAAAATTGAAAATAGCGAGCATTATCATCAATTCATGGTAATTTTTGACACCAACGAAATAATTCACAGTTAATCCGTCCCCATTGGTCCAAGCACTTTTATAACAAAATCATCTTATGCGTATCTAAATATTATTTTACTTAACGGTAACGTTTACACGTTACTTTTATTTGGTGTACATCTCTGGCATACGTAGTAAGTAGTACCTTGTACTCCTACATTCTGTATTACATATAAACCTTTTGAATGATATAAATAGATTTGAAATCTCTTGTATATAGGAGTCGAGAGACTGTCTCTATATCGGAGGTCTTACTTACCATCGACGTCAGCAATTGATTCTTTTGATTCTTTCGACAGGGAGCTTGCGTCTGTTATGATCCTGTAATTTTAATGTAACATAAATACTAAATATATAAATGAACAAAAATATGCGAGCAATTAATATGTTGAGATTGTACGACTTGGCATTCTGCTCTACCTATTCAATCCTTTCCTTCAAGAAATTTTTTGAATACATTTCACCTCATTCAAAAGTGCTTGCAGAACTCTGAATTGAATAAATATTTAAAAAAAAACTATCTTTCGGATTTTATTGCAGGTTTTGATTTTTTGTTCCTAACGTTTCGAATGCTTTACAGCAATCAAGGTCACAGAGTCACTCCGCAAAGAAGTATAGTTAGAAGAAATATAGTTTTATTTGAAATGTCAAATATTCGTGTAAATCGAAGAAAGTACTAATTGAATAAATTTTAATTTTATTCATCTTCGCCATTTTACGTGGCGTTGGCAAAGTAATATGTTGTCAAGTTGCACCATTTGAAGCTATTAACAAGAAAAATGAACTAATTTCATTCATTCATTCACTCATTTATAATATGAAGCGAGCGGTATTGGTAGTAGGTACCTCTGCAGCCGGAGCGCGAGGCGGCGCTGCGCGGGCGCGAGCAGGCGCGCGAGGCCCGCGGCCGCCAGCAGCGCAGCCGCGCGCGCCGCCGCCGCGCCGCCGCGCGCCGCCAGCGCGCCCAGCGCCGCCGCCGCGCCCGCCGCCGCCTCGCCGTAGTCGCGGATGTGCAGCGACATCTGCGTACGATCACATTATTATAAATAAACTAGCGACTCACCGTCGCTTCGCTCGGGTTCGTCCCTAGGTACGTTTTCAATTAAAATTGATATATTATGTTATCCTTAAGAGATAGACATATGCCATCGCGGACTTTTCTGTAGAATTATATAAGATACACAATTCCACCATACAATATTTTATTATATCTCAAAGGGTTTAGGCAGAATTTTCGTTGAAAACCACCATGCTTATTTTTTCGACATCTCCATATTTTATCCAATGTATACAAAAACTTAACAAATTATATACTAAAACCTTCCTCGAGAAGCACTCTATCCATTGGTGAAAACAGCATGAAAATCGGTGGAGTAGTTTTTGAGTTTATCGCGAACAAATAGACAGACAGACGCGGCGGAGGACTTTATTTTATAATATGTAGTGATAAATATGTTTGTATATTAACACACAGCACTATCTAGTTCCACGGTAAGCTACGAGTGTTATGGATACCAGATGGTTGTTACACTACACATTTATAACTTCAAATACATACATATTAGCATTCGTGCTCATCACACAAAACTTGTCGTCATCATCATGTTAATCATATTACATACTAACTGACTCGGCGGTCTAGTGGCTAGCGTGTGCGGCTACACATCCTGGGGATGAGAGCTTTGGGTCGGACTTCAGGATGAGAACTTTGAGTTTCTAAATTGTTTCTCTTCTTTTCTTCTCTAAATTTTATGATGTTTCTTTTCTTTTTTTTTCTTTTCTAAATTTTAATCGGAAATTTCTTTCAAAAATTCTTGTGCCTCGACTGTCGTACTTACTTTTACATGACATGATCTTTAGTACTTTTATGAGTATATGACTTGAGATGAAACCACAGTGTTTTACCTTCGAAACCGCTCACCATGAAAATTGGCGTTTTTTGTCATGGACATGATCTTTTGTTACTTACTTTGGTAAATGCATTTTCACATACTACGTATACAACATACCAATTGGTTTATGTAGAGATTCACCGGTTAGAAGAACCAGTGCAACCCACTAAAACCCAACGAAACTTTCTTCGTCTTAACACGGCATCGTAAAATCACGGATGCTGTTGCTTGCTCGCATGGTTGCCGCTTATCCAGTAAGGTGTAATGGCAGTGCTGACGCGCACATTTTAGCTACATAACAATTGTATCGCGCCACGAAAACCCCCTGTAGTCCCGTAATCGCCTACCGATTCGCTTGTCTATATTGTTATAAAAGTATATATTATGCTAGAGATATTTGTAGCTAACTTAAAGTGAATATAATAAATATATGTAACATTGGACGTTTGATTATCCCTCTGCACACACAGTTGTCAGTGAACACGCAATCATTACCCACACACACTAAATAGGCATTCAAAGGAAAGGGTTGAATAAAATAACGTATAATATATGTATACCTGGAATATGCGCCAGTCATCGGCACCCTCTATGAGCTTCTTAGCGCGTCGTGCATTTACTCTAACAACCTCACGTGCCTTTTGAAGCCGACTTTCTTGCTTTTCTATTCTTTCTCTGATGTTTTCTATATCGTTTTCACATTCAGATCTATTTTTCATAGAGATATTATCACATTAATTGCTGGTAATTATTTACCGAACAACTTTACTTTGAAATTTAATCTATAGTACTAATAAATAAAATTGATATCTACAGTTTTGCGCATATTATTTACACTAGACACATACAAAATACTTACTCTCTAAGTGACAGTTGCTTGTATTTATCATTCAGAGTAGTGAGTTGAGAGCTGAACTCATCTATTGACTCTTCGATTTCAGCTATTTTAGCGTTTAGCTCCTTCAACTCGTCCCGCTTCGCGTAGTACTGGCGACTCAGTTCGTCTATTTCTTCTATTTCAGGAGCTGTTATGAGAAATTGGTAAATGCAAGACAGACTCACGTTACAGAGTTTTTTTTTATTTTCTTAGATTTACGCTAATATTTTACACTTTAAATAAAACTATTTTTTTTTGGATTTATTTAAAATGCCCAACACTTGGTTTGCTAAATCACGTCATTACAATGTTTGTCTGTGTGTGTTTTTTACTCTTTCACGCAGAAAAAGGAGTTTTTAGGAGTTTATGACTGGGAGCAACACAAGTTAGTAATAAAATTTATCAAGAGGCGCTGCCTTTATATAATTACAAATGATACCTCCTTAACGGATCCGGCCACGGCGGCCAATCTCACTGAGACTAAATATCTGCACAGAAGATATTAGAGTGTACAAATGTACGCGCGAACACAAGTACACTATCTATCACTGTGACACTCATAATACGGCGTGACGACCATTAGACACGACAAGTGAGAAATCAACCGACGGCTTTACGTGCTCTCTGAGGCACTGGGGCTAAAACTCCGCTAACTTCCAACTCCGGGCTGATACTGAGAATTTCTTAACAGAAAGACTTAAAAACTAAAATTGACCCGATCCGGGGCTCGAATTTAGGAGCACCGAGGCAGTTAAAGGTAAAAATTGCACGTCCGTAACGTACCCGAGGGAAGCGAGAGAAGTCGCTAGATTATCATTAAACAGCAATTATATAGTAGATATATAGATATATATATATAAAGACCGTCGGTGGGCAGCGGCGCGATGCGGCGAAGGAAGCGGTCGTGCGCGGCGTGCAGCACGCGCAGCGCGGCCTCCAGCGCGCGCACGTCGCGCTCGCGCCGCCCGATGTCCGCGTCCAGCGCCGCGCCGCGCGACCTCAGCTCCGCGCGCTCCGCTGCGAACTGCCACGCACACATACACCACAGACAACTAACACGTGTAGTTACATTATTAATACTAATATATACATACACACATGAATATCAAAATATATTTTATTGAAATATTCTTTTGAATTGTTAACTTTTACATAGATAACATTTTATGTCAGTATGTAAGTTCGTGAGGGAGCTACCATCGGTTAGAATCATTATCCATACAAGTTATCACAGTCTACTAATACATACAGTCGTCTAACCAAAGCGTTTGTATAGTCTGAGCAATTGGACCCAACGTCCGTAGACAAGAGAAAACTGCGGGCGAAGCGCATTCTACTGCTAAACATACTTTTATATATCAGTTGGAAAACGGTTATAGAGTATAACTGTAATATGCCACGAGAACGTTTGCCATAAAGGTTGATATTTTTGACAATCCTTGCATATTATTCCTTGCAGCATTTCCATTAAAATCAATGAGCGCCTATTGTATGGGTTTTTATACTATGCAAATATTTTAGATATACATACAAATTCTAATTCTTAATACTTATAAAAATGATTACCTTTATTTTGAAAAACGTCACCGACAATTGTTGACCCGCTTCATCTTTGCCCAGTGAAGCAATGAATATATCATATCTAAAAAATAAATACATACATATATTAAAAATATTAATTTAAAACAAATTTATTAGAAAACTCCATAACAAAATTAATATTTCGTGACAAGCTTTTATTTTTACTTAGAACAATATTTTTTCAACCAAATTTAATAACTAACAAAACAACCAACCCTATCTAACACCTCAAACACCGAACAAAACGATCAGTAACACATACAGCGAAGCAAGTAGCGCAGTAGAGTACCTCTTAACGAGTTGCAGGACCCGCTGCTCGCGCTCGCGCACGCCTGCACGCAGCCGGCCACACTGCTCGAGCAGCGCGCGCCGCTGCACCGCGAACATGTCGCGGCGCGCGTTGATCTCCACCAGCCGCTCGTTCATCGCCTGTTACAGATATATTTACAATTATTTCAGATTTATAACATTGTTCAGGTAGTTTATGATTTTTTATAGCCTGGAGCAAATTTTTGGGTCGTGTTTGTTAATATATTTTAAGGTTTAAAAATATATTTCACCTGGAAAATGAATTGGGGACCCCCACATAGATCTTAAAATAATATGAATTAATTTTAATTATTAGTTACACTAATATTATAAAAAAGTAAAGTATGTAAGTTTGGATGTTGACGGTAATCTCTGATATGTACATTTGAGTGCTGATCTGATTTGAAAAATCCTTTCATTAATAGGAACCGTCGCCACCGATCGCAATATCACCGAGTGGTATACGCCAATTATTTTTCTGCCAAAATTAATTATACTTTCATCAACACTATTACAAAGTTTATCAAACAATAAGTCTATAAAAAAATATATTTCTGGTCTTACTGGTTAAAGTAAATATTTCAATTTGACATTTGACATTTAATTCTACACATTTTTATCTATCCAAAAAGTTGTGCCCACAGCAGTTTTCCCACATATATCACCAACGTCTATGGCATGAAAATTTTAATATATAATTTAGTATATCTAACAGTATAACATTATGATATGTATAAGGTATATGTTCGCACCGCGTCCACCTGCAGGCGCTGCGCGTCGAGCGTGTAGGCGGCGTCGCCGAGGCCGGCCAGCGCGCGCGCCGCGTGCGCCACGCGCAGGCGCAGCAGCGCCTCGTCCACGCGGCGGCGGCGCCACGCGTCGCGCTGCTGCCGCGTCTCCTTATCGCCGCCCTCCACGTTCAGCATTGATGTTTTTAAACGGCTTTGCTGTATAATACATTACGTTGTTAATCTATACATATAATAAAATTGTTATTAAGACGAATCTGTAAATTAAATGTTTTTTGGAAAATCTTAATGAAATAGACATTATTACACATACGATATCATTACGATACACAGGCCGAATCTATAGTTTTTAAAATTTTGTCTGTTTGTGACCGCATCACGAAAGAACCACTGGAGGGATTTTGATGAAATTTGGTGTAATGGTAGCTGGTTATCCGGGTCAACATATAGGTTACTTTTACTGCGGGAAAATATCTCTCTCATCTCTACGAAATCTAGGTATACTAAACGTCAAAACGTAATTCTACGGACGAACCCGAGCGGAGCGAGGATGAGTCGCTAGTATTTAATAAATAAAATTGATTTGTCTATATATAATAAATACAAATGCCATGACTAAAAACTAAAAATTAAAAACAAAATATCTGTCTCTTTGCACCCACCGCCTTATTTTTAATCTTAAGAAATGCATTTACGCATACCACCTGCATACATACAGATGGTTACGTGGAACACAATGGCTAGTAAAGCCAGTACTACCCAAAAAATCTAACGGAACTTACCAAAACTTTATATGTATAGTTAATGAAATATCAGGTCACCTGACGTCCGTTCTAAAGACATAAGGTACAATTCCAGTGCATAATATAATAGAATAATAATAATGTACTCCTGACCGATTATAATGCGACCTACTTTGCCTCGGCACATGGTGTGACACCATTAATTTACCAACTCCAGCATTTGGTACTGAAAATTTCTTTACATAAAAAACCCAGTTACTATGGTCCAATCCGAGCCCTAGGACGTCAAGATCTACCACTGAACTTTTTAGCTACTAAACCAGTTAAAAATGTAGTCAAAAATCGGGAGCTAGATAAAATAATATTATGTATACCAGTCTTTTATGGTCCTCTCCGAGCAGCTCCAAGTCGCGTGTGAGGCGCCGCATGTCGTCGTGCAGCTTGTTGGCGTGGCGCTCGAGCACGGCGGCGCGGGCCGCGTGGCGCGCGCGCACCGCGTTCAACCTGTAATAAATATGTTGGTATATAAACACACAGCACCATCTAGTTCCATGGTAAGCTACGAGGCTTGTATTATGGATACCAGATAGTTGATAAACTGCACACATATAACTTTAAATACATACATATTATAAATATAAAACATGCGTGACTGCAGTATAAACATTCATGCTCATCGCACAAACGAATCCCCAGCGGGACTCGAACCCGCGACCGCTTACAGAGCAAGTAGAGTCACTACAAACTGAGCCAAACGTGTCATTGGAAATAACATCACTTTATGTTAAACTTGCAACTAATCTTGAGTAAAATTATTTTCTATAATAGCATGATGAGCTCAAGTAACTGTAATACCTGAAGTAATAAGAATAATAGCATTTATTAGGAATTTAAAAGGTAGTTGTGTGAGTGAAAACGTTATCGCCCGAAACAATATTCCAAAAAGGAAATGTAGGTAATTACAACTCTCTCTAGCGCACCATACGGGTTATCAAAGCGAGCGGTATGAAACGGATAGCATTTTTTGAAAAAGCTACTCGCGCCGCGTATTAGCACTTCACAATCCTCGTAAAATCTAAGAAAGTTGACTTTCGACATATTATATATTAAAATACACGCAAAATCACCTACATATAGATATTTATGAATATACTTTTTCAAAATATCAACAATACCTCTCTTCCCTGGCCGCCAGCTCGGCGGAGCACTCCCGCTCAGCCTGCGCGCCCTCCATGTGCGCTACACGAGCGCCGGTTGTCTCCACTTGATAACACTACATAGAAAAACAAAAACAAAATATTTCAATTATAAAACTATTTACAACATCAAGGTTCATAAGCGATATAAAATCTCAGCAGAGAAGACAAATTCTAAAAAATACTATCTCAATTTCTACATAACCTCATGTTTTTTTAACATTCTTATTCAACCACTATAATTACTTATAATTATGCCTAATTAAGTAAATAAGCATACTGGATTAAAGTTACATACAATTGCATATAGTGATTCCTTTTGACTTTGAAGATTTCTTTCTACTCCCTCCTGTTTGGTATCCAGCTTGCTCATGCAGGCTTTAGACGCTGTAATACAAGTTGCTGAATAATATAATATTATTATTTATCTATCTCTCTCTGACACACATACATACACTCTCTATCTCTCTCTCTAAAATTATTATTAATCTCATGGTGGTGGTCATTAACCTAATGTCATGGACGCGTACGGATATAATATGACAAATTTAATTACACTGTAACCACAATATGACGATAATTAAACACAATATAATGGCCTCTATACGACTTTGGTGATTTTGCTGTTTTACTGTTACTATGCTTACTAATTACAAATAATCTATTAGACTGAGCGCTTTCTTAAAAATACTTCCTATATAAAGCTACCTTAGTAAAGATTAATTCAAAATGATATACCTAACATCATAAAAAAAGAAACAAAATATATATCACCAAACAGTAGTTTCATTAATGTATAATTAAAATATTATGATATTCTGAGATATCATATCAAATGTATTATATCCTAGAAAACATATATTATAAACGGGAATAAAAGTAGATGCATGTCAAATTTCATCACTAATCGCTGTCACGTCAAGAGGCATCAAACAATAAATATTCGCTATTAAAATCATGTAGTAAGGAAATAAAGAATCACGTTCTTAAAGAAATCAATATTATCATAAAAAGTATATACATTTAAGCTGCATGTGGAACAGTTTCTCCTCGTTCTTGAGACTGAGCAGCTTCTGTTGCTCCACGAAGGAGCAGTGCATGGCGCGTTGCTGGTTCACCGTCAGCTGGCTCGCGTAGCGCTCCTCTTCCTACAATTATAGGTTATATATTGATGAAAATAATGACACAGCGGTTTTTTTTTTGAAATATTAAAAAGTAAAATAAAATTAGAGTTTTGGTAAAAATATATGTAACAATATACATATAACTTAGCATTTACTTTTACATACAAAATATCCTAATACTTCATAAGAATATATTACCTTTTGACTTAAAATTATAAAATTATTTTAAATATCTCCTCATTCTCCTATTATTTAATAGCATTAATGATAATGCATTATATTTATATCTTTGTAACAATAAAATGTTAATGATAACAAAAACAACTCACATTCAACATATCTTCCAGCTCCTTGGCTCGTTTCTCTGAACATTTTGATTTGTCTGTTGAATCCACTAGTTTCTCCTTCAACTCTTTTATCTGAAATATTTATATATTGTCATATAATTGTCGATTCATAATTGACAAAGATATCGATAAGATATATTTAAATACATGTATAATCTAATTTAATTCGAGGAGTTTATGCAACGTGATCAAAATGTCCAGACAGACATTAAGGTTGCAGTATCTGAAGCAAATACTAACTCTCTAGCATGCTCACTGTACCACTGCGGAGAAGGCACATGTGGAATAAAGCTTTCAGCACTGTCATCGGGCTCGACATATTCTACTACGACTTCACGGCCGTCGATAATCATATTATTGATTATTTCATATATCTGTGGGAACTTCTCCAGCCTTCTGAATTCAACGAAAGAACGACGAACGACGAAGTTCAACGAAAAAATAAATACACGTGATATCTCACTACAACAACATACCCCCCCCCCCCCCTGTTATGTTTCGTTTTTTCCGAACCCCCTCCTCCGCCTTTCAAGCTTCACGTGATTCATGGACAATCCCTACCGACTATTTTTTTTTATAAAAAAATCTCTTTCTAAATTATTTACATCAATCATTAAAAAAAACTGTTTTGTAAATAACTTATCTGTTAACACAATAATTAATTTTACATATAAATATTGCCGATGTATATTACCTTGGAATTTAGTGCATTCAATGCTAAATCTTTCTTATGCTGATCGTCAAGTAGTTGCCGATTCTCCATGTGAAGTCTCTCTAGCGCCACACGGATGTTGCTGAGCTCACGCTGTAGGCTGTGGGCCTGTAAATATTGATATAAGTTAAATATATTTCAAATATCAATAAAACACATGAAAATGTCTTATATCTATACAGATAAATAAAATTGAAGTGTCTGTTTGTAACGTCAAAAAACACCGTTTTACTAAATGCATATGAAATTATATACGGTATTTATAAGAAAAACACAATTTTAAAAAAAATTGTCAGTCTGTCTGTTAATACCGGGTAACCTCTGCAACGGCTGGACTGATTTTGACGGGACTTTCACTAGAAGATAACTGATGTTATAGGGAGTAACGTAGGCTACTTTTATTTTAGAAAAAGAATTAGGGTTCCGCTCAAAAAAATTAAAACGTATCTAGGGACGAACCGGAGCGAAGCGAGAGTGAGTCGCTATTATGTTATATTTTTGGCATGACTATAGACTAGAAACTCTAGTGAAACTCCCATCTCTCACTAATTGCAATTAATCCAGCTCTGTTAGACAGGCTAAAAGTTAGACAGCTAACGGACGTAACTACTACCTAATGTTTTTTATACTATCTTATCTCACGGGATACTACTATGAGGCAATGCTGCAGATTCGATATGAATTCCCTCAAAAACGGTGTGCAGGTTTATAATGATGTGAACCTCGCGATTCTCTGCGAGACGTTTTTAAAATTGATAATTTTAATATGATTACATCACAATATAATATACTGTGTGCATGTGAGCATGTAGGGTGGTTAATCCTTCACGCTAAGATGGCTGGACGAATTTAGGACACCTATATTCTGTTACTACTGTTAGACACCTAGGGACGAAAACGCATGTCAGATATGCAGATTCTCGATGTTCCTTTCGCCATAAAGCGAGTGCTAATCCTCTAAAAAAATTATATGACTCACTAGCGGCTCACCCTCGCTTCGCTCGGGTTTCGCTTCTATACAAACAAATCTATCCCACAGGAACCGTCCATTTTTCTGGATAAAAAGTAACCATGTGCCATTCGAGACTATAATCCATCCGTGTTAAATTTCATCCAGATCCGTTCGCTGTTCTGTCGTGATTGAATAACAAACATCCATTCAAAAATCTAAACTTTCACATTTATAATATTAGTACAAACAAAAATATCAGAAGTGCCTAGCGAGACCTGCAGTTTGAATTTGCTTCAATCGGTTTCATTCAATCAAGCGCATCACCACTGGGCTAGCACTGCCATGAAAAAAACACGACATAAAACACCAACCTCACTATCGAGGCCGACGTTCTGTTCCTGCGCGTGCTGCTGCGCAAGGCGTGTCTGCGCGAGGCGCTGCGCCAGCTGCAGGCAGTCGCGCTGCGCGTCCGCGTTGTTGCCGCGCTGCTGCGCGCAGAAGCTCTGCTGCTCGCGACACTGCTCCGCCAGAGATTGCGCTTCCGCTTCTAGCACTGCGTAGTCCTAGTTAAGATAACTCGTAATTGTCAAGGACGTATTTTAAAATTTGGCGCCCTTAAGCAAAAAATATTGACCGTCCCTTATGTTGTATGCCCTTTTTTCCTACTAAAAATAGGTAAAACTAAAAAAACAGTTTATAAGATTGAAGGTCGCTCACATGTTTCTCTCACATTTTGTTCTTAATTCTCAATGACATAATAATCACAGTAAATCAAGCAAATAATATTAAGACACTCGACTTACACCTCGCAGCCTGTCACCCTTGTGCCTGCCATATACCCTACCTTACCTAGTGTAAATACAGCACTGGTAATAGGGAATATGCATTCTTTTTGTTAATTCTTTTATACAATAGCTCACATCGTTACATAAGTGAAAAAAAATCCAGATCCTAAAAACTAAAATTCAGTATTAAAGTTTTTATAAATACCGATACGGATACCTACTATAAACGCCCGCCATTTCGCGCGCTTGGCGTGACGTCACAGTATCATACATAAAAAAACTTCGACTAGTTTGCAGCGACAAAATCGCTAATCGCTCTGTTACGATAATACTCTGACGTCATATTCGGTCTGACCAATGATGAGCGTTTCAACTACCTTAAATTTCCCACATATATTTGCACTTTTTAATTATTATTTTCCCAATCAAAAAGAAATTACACAAAAAAATATTGATATAGGCTTAATTCAAAAGTAATGAAGATTATTAAAAAAATATTTCACCTTTATTTAAATCACACGCATATTCCCAAGGAACACCGAAAAACAAAAATATATACATATGTCCTAGGTTTATAAATAGTAATAAGTAAAGTACTTGATTGTTAAGGAGTAAGAAATAACAAGCTGGAAGGAAAAAATGGGCATTATTCGGCATAATGCTCAACTCCAAATTTTTTAAGTACAGCAACGCTAAGAACAATCGAGCACTTTTAAAAGTACTGCTTTGGCGTGACCAACCAACTCAGTAGCAGAAAATGTTTTTACGCGTTGTTCGTGTTTGTGCGCCGAAGGGCGGCACTATGCTCTGTAATTGGAAAACAGGGATTATCTTACGTCAGAAGGTTCCCTTCAATTCATACAAACTACTATTTACTTCATGTTGAATAAATGATTTAATAGCTTGAGCTTATTTAATGAATATTGCAAAATACCTCTCTAATATGACGAATATCATTATCACGCTGCCGTAAATTTTCTACTGCACTAGTCCACATATTCATCATTTGCTTTCGCTGCTCCATACCCTCAATGACCTGTCATAACAAAAGCTCATTGATCTAATGCATATTGTTCATTTACTTCATGTTTAGTTTCAACTTAAATAATTACCTACTTATCTTCTGCTAACAGAGCCAATATAATTTTTATTTCAATATATTAGTTTTAAATGATAGACTTTAGAAACTATATAACAGCCAGAAGCCATTACCTATTATCTATACATATAATAAAATTGTAACTAAGTCGAATCTGTACATTAAATATTTTTTTGGAAATCTTATTGAAATAGACATTATTATCGATACAGAACCCGAAACTACAGTTTTTACAATTTTTGTCTGTCTGTCTGTTACCGCATCACATAAAAAGCATGGAAGGGATTTTAATGAAATTTGGTATGGTCATAGCTGGTTATCCGGGTCAACATATAGGATACTTTTTATTGCGGGAAAATATCTCATTTCTGAGAAAAAATACAAAAACTAGTTAGAATAAAACTACGATGATAGTATATACATGAAATTGGTATAGTAAGAGTAGCTATACATACATATATATATGTAAAACCTAAGAATTTGGTTTTTGGTCATCAGAACTTGGGCGGAGCCTCAGAAAATGCTAGTTTTTTTATAATTGCACTTTAAACTTTTCTTAATAACTCAAATTTAAGGATATTTTAAGTACACCTACTCTACCTGAATAGAAATTCTTTCACAAGCTCTTTCTTCAGCACTAAGATTAGAAACAAGTTGATTGAGACGTTCTTGCATTTGGTCATGTTCAACTTTCAGTTTCTGCCTTTTTGTCTCTAGAGCCTGTTAAGAAAATGAGGAAAGAAAAAAGATCAGTAATTTAAAAGACATTCAATAAATTACAAACACATTCTATATATTAATACTTTTGCTTTAGAAAAATCTTGTTTAGTAAACTGCTCGATGGCTGTTATGTCTCCCGCACTCCTCTCTAGAGCTGCTCTCCATTCCTGCAGTGCCCCACGTTCTCCACATACTTCACTTTTCAATGAATCAGCCTTTTTCAGTAATTTGGCAATATTATCTAAAATATAATTAAAATGTTTCTAACATAATCACAATTTTAGTAACATATTAAAAAATGCTAAATTGTTTGTGCTAATAAAGGTGTATAGCTTTTACAAATTAAGTTAAATTATATTATTAACATCTAATATTATATGTGGAAAATCTCTATCCAATTAAATATTAACGCTAAACCACATTAATCGGGTAAATTTCTACTCTAGACTATTATACTTTTTGCAAAAATTTAATAGAATAACTCCTATCCCAGTACACCATTAAGTCTCCAATTCCATGTAATCTCCATACAGGTTGTGCTTTTACAATGTGTGGTTGCATGTCTAAAGGCAGCCAGTACTTTCGCAATATGTAATATGTATCATTGGGGTTGAAATCTACCCCAACAAGTAACTAACATATAAGCCAAAATTGAAAATGTACCTAGTTTAGGGGTTTGATGTTTGAACAAAGCTTTAAATTTGCATTAAGTAATTCTTATTTAGTTAGGTACATTTTACCTAAATAATAACTCACTTTGAAGTTTCTCTATACGAGAAGAAATGGAATTGTTTTGTTTGTTACAATCAACTACATCTCTCTCCAATCTCTCTGCTTCATTAAAGGATAATTGTTGAAGTTTTATTTCTTGTTCTAGTTGTTGTTTATGTGCAAATAGTAAGCGCTGTAATTTGAAATTGTTAAAATTATTTCAATATTTAATATATTTATGCATATATATAATTACTTACAGTATTCTCCTGATACTCAGTATGAACGAAATTCTTATACTTATTGAGGTCATCGCGTTTTTGATTTTGTAAAATTAGAGCTTCTTTCAAACATTGTATCTCATTTTGTCTAAAAAATAAAAATACGTTTTGTTTTTATAGTATAAAAAAAAGCAAGTAATTATAATAGCCCCTGTTGTAAATTTTTAAATCTCACCTGTCAATAAGAACAGTTTCTAAGCTTTGGTTATCAGGATCAGCTAAGGGAATTCTAGTTCCCTGTCCCCAACCAAGCTCTTCCAGAAGTTGAGACATATATCTAGGGACCTTTTCATTATTCTCACTCATTTTTAAATAATGATAATATAATCTTGTTAGCTTTTCAAATAATACATTAAATCAAAAAATCTAAATCTTTGTAGCCAAGCAATGGCCAAGAATTATTAGATCGAAGTTCGTATCGAATCAGCCGCCATAATTCGAATAATTTTATAGATGTAGCAACTAGCAATATACTCTATGGAATAATTCAAAATCAAAACAAACAAAAATGAAAACAACGCCACAGCTAATATATAATTCAACATTAAAATAGTGAAAGTATAAACCGTAAACTTTGTATTAATTCCGATTTTTTACTTCATATAAACATAAAATGTAACTAAATAATTTCATTATCCTAAGTAACGAAACTTAAGATTAGCTTTAATAAAAGTTTTAAGTACTTCTTATCTTAGGATTCTGCTGGAAAAGGCTAAAAAGAGAACCGTTATAATTTCGATTTTTGTCATATCACCGCTTTTTTGTCGAAGACTAGATATAAGAAGAGATTACTGATCTTAGAGTATATTATGTATACTTTAAGTTACTGATACATTGCTGAAATGGGGAATTTTGCTTTTTTCTCCCGCCAGGTTTAACGATCACTATAGCCCTCAGTATATTGTTAAGCTCTATAGTGTGGTAGGTTTTTTTTCATTGTATTTAAAATTTAATTAAAATGACAAATTGTGCAGCGCCAGGATGCAAAGAAAATGGATGTCATTTGTTGTCCAAAAACTGCCTCTTCCAAGTCCAACGGTTATCACCAAAATTTATAACAATCAGCCGGAAGTGAAATTTTAATTAAATTTTTATAAAAACATCCTAAAATTTAGTTCAGTATTCCTAACTTACAGTTTCATTTTATTAAACAAAATAACAATATTTCAGAATTTTAGATTTAATAATATAATTTTCCAAATTTTTAACTTCATACAATTAGGTTTATCTCCAAAGTTGATATTACAAAATAAGTGACTCAAAAATAAATTCATATATGTAAATAAAATAAATTTTAAGATATTAATTGTTAGATTTTTATAATATTCTTGCGAGATTAATATTTTAATGAAAAGTAATAAACTCAATTGACTTCGATAAACAATCTTGCTGTTGATCGAAGTCAATTAGTATTCCATTTTAGTTTTGAAGTAATCAAATTATTTCTTATTATATTAATTTATTATTATAGACTTATTTTCTAATGTATAATTTGAAGACCTTATAAGCCAGCTTAACAATATACTTTTAATGTCGTAAACTTAGTGTCGCCTTTCCTCTAACTTTTCAAATATAGGGGTGGAAAATTCTGAAAAAAAAAATGAACTGGTGTGTAAAAAACAACAAAAAACTTAAGTTTTTTGAATTATGTTTCTTACTAGATGTGATGAGAAGAACCCACTGTATGCGAATCAGACGAACACTTATATAGTAAACTAGCGGCTCACCCTCGCTTCGCTCGGGTTCACCTCTAGAAAAGCACAAACAGATCTATCCCACGGGAACCGTTCATTTTTCCGAGATGAAAAGTAGCCTGTTGTTTGACCGGCAATATAAGGTATCAGCATGCCAAATTTTACTAATTTAGGTGCATAAGTTGTTGTGTACTAAGCTGTATAAGTTACTATAGTTTTTTAAATATCCCACGGAAACTCTTTAATTTTCTGGAATGAAAAGTATCTTAGATATTGACCGGGGAAATAAGGTACTACAATGCAAAATTTCATTTAAATCGGTTCAATAGTTTCGGAGATTAACCCGTAACGGACAAACAGACAGAGAAACAAAAAAATTGAAAAAAAAACTGGATTTGTTCTATTTCTCTTCTTTCGGGATGTAACTGACTCGGTTTTTAGCATTTTTTTTAACCTCTACAGTTTTATTATATGTATAGATAGAATGAAAATTATATGTATAGAAATATAATGTTAAGGTTGAGCCAACGTAGCCATATAAATTTCTAAGGACGATTCGATAGAACCAGTTATTGTGTTTTTCCGTGGGAATGAATAATTTGCTTGTCGTAAAAGGTATTCTAAATGTTGACCCGAGTACTAAGTTTTCCACTATACAAAATTTAGTTAAAATCGGTTGAGTACTTTTTGCGTGAAACGCGCACATCGATTTGACTAAGTTAGTTTTATTATACGTATAGATAAGAATAAATATTGCGAGTGTAACTTAGGAGATAGACATATATAATTCAGAACTTTTCTGTAGGACTTTCAAGACCTAAAATTTTTTAGTAGGTATATTGTTTTGATATATGAATGTCTTAAGGCTTAGCCAGTGGAAGGTTTCTAGGAAGGACTCGATAAAACCAGTTATTATATTTTCCCGTAGGAAAGGAAGATTTTCTTGAAGTAAAAGGTATCTAGGCAGTGGTATCCCAGTGGTAACGCGCTTGCTTGGAAAACCGAGTGAAGCAAGTTTAAATCCCGGTTCTCGCACCTCTGATATTTTCATGTGCGAATCATTTCTAACACAATTACCTCTTGTTTTAACGGTGAAGAAAAACATCGTGAGGAAACCTGCGGGTCTGAGAGAACCTAGCAAGTTTTCAACAGACATGTAAAGTCCGCCAACCTGCACTTATCCAGCGTGGTGGACTATGGCCTGACCCCCCTCGTACTGAAGGGAGGACCGTGCCCAGCAGTGGGACGTTAAAAAGGGCTGAATACATACATACATAAATAAATACATACATACAAAAGGTATCCTAAACGTTGACCCGAGTTATCAGTTATCACTTCACCAAATTTCATTGAAATCGGTACATTACTTTTCGCGTGAAACGCTCACGCAAAAACAGACATACAGGCAAATAGACAAACAGACAATTTTTTTAATAAATATTGTTTTGGGGTCTTTGTTGTGTACATAAAACGTTACAAATAAACAAAAACATCTATCCCACGGGAACAGTACATTTTTCCGGGATAAAAAGTAACCTATTTGTTATTCTGATGTATGAACTATATTATTGTAAAGTTTCAGCAAAATCCAATCAGTAGTTTTAGTGTACTAAGCTGTATAAGTTACTATAGTTTTTTGACTATCCCACGGAAACTCTATAATTTTTCGGGATTAAAAGTAGCTGATTTGTTTTTGTCATGTATGAACTATATTATCGTAAAGTTTCATTAAAATCTAAACAGTAGTTTTTGTGTACTAAGCTGTATAAGTTGTTATAGTTTTTTAACTATCCCACGGGAACTCTTTAATTTTCCGTGATGAAAAGTATCTAAGATGTTGCCCGGGGATATAAGGTACCACCATGCAAAATTTCATTTAAATCGGTCTAATAGATTCGGAGATAAACCCGTAGAAACAGAAAAACAGACAAACAGCTCGCTCGGGTTCGTCCATACCTACGAATATGTTGTATTATCTCTTTAACCATTTGTCCAAATTATATGCAGTAAAAGGGAAAAGTCTTTTGTTTTAAACATTTTAGACGATAAATGTACTTATTTTGATAAGAATTCATAATTGTTGATAATGTGACCAATAAACATGACCTACCGATTTTAATTATTTTTTTAACATAAAAAACTACTTTTTGTGACTTAAATATAAAAGTTAGATATATGCTGTCGCTGACTTTTTTGTAGGCATTATTAAGCTCTACAACTTTTCTCTAGAACATTATCATATATCTCTCATCGTTAAGGCAGCAGTTCGTAAGAAACGTTTTCGTTCGACCGTTTTTTCTCCGACTTACTTTGCAAATCCGACTACCACGCAAAAGCCTTTTCATTCTTCGGGTTAATATATAGCCTATGACACTCAGAAAGAACGTGGCTTTCTATTAGTAAAAGAATTTTGAAAATCGGTTCAGTAGATCCAGAGATTACCCCCTACAACGTCACAAACTCACAAACTCACAAGATCACAAACTTTACCTCTTTATAATATTATAGTATAGATGAAAACTACCAATCAGTTATTTTTTACTTTTTAGTGCTTTTTTTGAAGTTGGTTTTCATTTTTTTGTGAAAAAGTTTTTATCTTATACTTCGTTTATTGTAATTTCTAACCTTATACTACTATGTCTTCTAATTTTAGTGTTGATTTCGACTGGTTTTGGTAATATGTACTAATATTGTCTTCCTTATTAAAGACCATAAATGATAGAATGAAAAATTTGATATTAATTATATTATAACGTGCGCTGTCTATTTATATATTTTTATTTTTGAAGAAAATATTGTTCCTTACGATATTTTCCTCCTTTATCGAAAAAATGTAAAGAATAATTACGTTCATTTTATCTTAGTTAAGGGATAAATACATACATAATTACAATAAGATTTTGAGAACTGACAAGTGATTTAAACTATATTTTCTCAAATTTATTAAGCTTCAAAATATTATTAGGTATAATGTCCTAACTGATTTATATAATTCGATACGATTTCGGCCCTACGGCCGATCTGACTGAGACAAGCCAGTTGCGCACGAGATATTATAGCGCAGCGCATGTACGCGCAGACACAAGTGCACTCTCTATTAATTTTACTCGCAAAGTCCAATGGGATGACACTTCCACACGACCGGTGAGAGTATAGGCGCAGGACAGCTTTATGTGCTTTCCGAGGCACTGGGAAACACCCCGAACTGCCCAACTCCGGGCTATTACTGAGAATATCTAACGAAAAAACTCATTAATTAAACTTGGCCCGACCCAACTTTGGGACTCGAACCCAGGACCTCTAGATCTGCAACCGTACATGCTAGCCACTAGACCACCGAAGCAGTTTATTAGTATAACATAGTTTAAGTTAATTAGTTCGTTCTAAGTTATATATAAATCTTTTCACTTATATTAATTAAAATAAGGTAATATTATTCATTAATCATTATATATTATTATATAAATGAAATAATGTAAGCATTCAATCATTGTAAAATATTTTCTATTAGGTACTTAAAGGTTTATTAATTTTAGTTATATTATATACTCTGTTTCTCGCCCACGTATAACGCAAACCTAAATTTTATGATGTAAATTCTCTTGAAATGCCGCCAAAAGAATAAGCGCGTAGTCTTCCAAAAATAGCTCGAGCAGTTTAGTTTCACGCGAACGCTGTAACACATTGCTGATATCGAATCTTATAAGGTTTTCTATATTGCACTATCATGAGTGCTGGTGCTGCATCGTTACCGTGTCCTATATGTTCACATACAGGAGTGTTTGATTCTGTACAGACTCTTAAAGATAGATTAATCTACGTATCAACAAATACAATTTCTTGTCCAGTTTGTCAAGAACAAGTTTTGGGTCTGGATAAACTCATTATACACTTATTCAGCCATGTGAAAGTAGTACCTCCAAAGAAAAATGCTCAAATGAAGATGTCGTCATTAGAGAAAAACAATGGTATTCTTGCAGAGCAACAGAGAAAGAAAAAATCTGTATCTAAAAATAAAGCAACTTCATCTACAGGGAATACACAAGTCAAGTTTGTAAAAATATATCCCAAGTTACCAGTTATAGCCATAAACACGGTGCCAATTTTAGATATATGTCCAAATCGTGATGGAACAGGAATGCAAAGCCATAATTCTCTTTACGTGTCAAAAATAAAAACTGAAGCATCCCTATTACAACCAAATAATAGCAAATGTGATATTTGTGGCTTACATTTTGTTGATGCCGACATATTAAGAATGCATAGATGTTTAATTCACAACATTGATGATATTACCCACCAAACTTTCACTCGATATGACTGTCATCTATGTACCAAAAGCTTTAAGATGCGGGGATCTTTAATGGTCCATTTAAGAGTAGCACATTACGGATTCACCTCTAATAATAAGGAAGAACTGAACGAAAATGATAAGTGTGAAGAGAAAAATGAAAGTGTCATCTCTGAAAACAAACCCAATGAAATCGAAAGAAGTAACGGAAAACAATGGCAGTGTGATGTATGCCATAAATGTTTCACTACAAAATATTTCCTTAAAAAACATAAGCGACTTCATACAGGTTAAAATTAGTTTAAGAGGTAATTTATACTAACAAAATCTGACTTCAAAGTGCCTACTAATTATTATTATTGATTTCGAATAAAATGTTCGAATATAGTAAAATATGTCAATATTTTAAAAATGATTAAGTTAGAGCTCAAGTACAATTAATTTACTTTCAGGTGAAACTCCATATGCGTGTAATCAATGCAGCAAAACTTTTACATTTCAACAGTCTTATCATAAGCACCTGCTATATCACAATGATGAAAAACCCCATACATGTAACTTTTGTGGAAGAGCATTTAAAGAACTTTCGACTCTCCATAACCATCAACGTATTCATACTGGTGAAAAACCTTTCGCATGTGAAACTTGTGGTGAGATTAAAGAAAATAATTTTTTATTTAGTAATCCATACTCATATTATAAATGTGAAAGTGTTTGTGTGTTTGTTTGTCTTTCTTTCACGTCAAAACGGAGTAACGGATTGTCGTGATGTTTTATGTGGCGATAGCTGGAGAGTCGGATAGTGACATAGGCTACTTTTTATCGCGTGAGATTATCTAATTCCCATGGGAAAACACGTTATAATACAACTTAAAAAATATATATCATCAGTATTACTTGAAACTTGGTATTAATGCTCTCCAAGAAAATTAAATAAAATCGTGTTTTAGCATTTTTCGAAATTCACCCTCTAATTGGGGGTAAAATAGGGAATGAAAGTTTGTATGAAACTATACCTTTTTAGAGATTTTTTGTAGTTTTAGCGCGAGCGATGCCGCGGGTTCTGCTAGTATTATATAATAGATCTTTACCTTGTTTATTTCTCATATAGCTCTATAAAAATATATGTACTCTTACAATTTCAATACTTTTCTTTTTTTACATTAATATTAAAAATACTACAAAATAAAAATGGAATTGCAGGTAAATGTTTTCGACAACGGGTCTCCTATTTAGTTCACAGGCGCATTCATACCGGTGCAATGCCTTATAAATGCACAGCTTGTGAAAAGAGTTTTAGATACAAAGTAAGGAATAAACTTATTAAATCGACTTTTTAGATCTATATGTATAATATATAATAAAAACCAAACAGTATATTTTTCAGGTATCTCAAAGAACTCATAAATGTCAAGCTCAGCCACCTGGTACAGTTGTTAGAAAGATGGGTGAACTTGTCGAAAAGCTTAAAAAGAAAAAAGAATGTGATATAAATGTTGATTCAATTACTCAAAATACTAGTTATCCTGAAGTATCGGAAGTAAATGCTGAACTAGTAAGAACAGGTGCTCAAATATCATTGGAAGATATGGAATCTGAAAATTTCACTATAATTTCCGAAGCTTTCAGTGAAAATCATGCGATATGCTCTAATTATCAATTGGAATTAGCAAGTAACAGTGTATCAGATGATACAAATATCGATTTGTATAGATCTAATATAGATGAACTAATAGATTCAGTACCTATTAACGACAAAAATATTCCATCGCCGTCAGACATTTTAAAAAACCTTTGTTTATCAAATGACGAGGATTTCCTGTGTGGGAATAAAAATAGTGATATTGGAAAAAATTACGACATTAATAAAGATTTAACTGACTTTTTATAAAGTTATTTGTAAAAATAATTAAAATTAATTGCTTAATATATGATTTAATTATCTAAAATAAGACAATCGTTTGTAAAAAAATTTTATATTTACGAGCACAGCCAAAAATTATATTTAAAAATATTGTCAATACTATGTTATATAAAATAATTGAGAATCAAACGAACTTACCTTGTGATGTTAATAATAAATAATATTTAACAAGTCATTTTGTACAATAATACAATTTTAAATTTCTTGTTTACCTGCTAAAGTGGGAAAATATCTTAATACTAACGACTCACCTTCGCTCCGCTCGGGTTCGTCCCTAGTTATGAGAGAGATGAGATATTTTCCTGCAGTAAAAAGTATCCTATATGTTGACCCGGATAACCAGCTATAATCATACCAAATTTCATCAGAATCTATCGACTGCTTTTTTCGTGATGCATACCCAGACAGACAGACAGATAAAAATTCTAAAAACTATATTCGAACTCTGTATCGATAATAATGTCTATTGCAATTAGAGTTTCCAAAAAATATTTAATGTACAGATTCGACAGATACGGTCTCTGTATCAAATTCAAAATATTTTATTCAGCATTAAATTATTACATTTTTTATTGAACGTCATGAGTCTACCAGTTCGGAAAGAAGAAGTCTCAGACCTGAGAAGAACTGGCGAAAGAAACTCAGCGGGACTTCCGTTATCTTTTTTTAAAAGTTACGTTAAGTTTTTTTTTTAAGTTTATAAATTACAATATTTCTATAAAGTTGAAGTAGCCTTGAGGCGATCACTTCATTTCCAAGGAGTGCCATCTTCTATAAAATTATTTATTGTATAATATCCTTTAGCACACAAACGTTCTTTAAGATTTTATTTGAATTTGACGATAGAAGCTTTTTGAACATTTTCTGGGATCCTGTTGTATAAGCGTAATGTATACTCTTAAACAATGTTAATGTCCATAAAAAGAATTACTTACTCTGTGTAGACGAGTCACAGGCATTACAAGTATGTGTTTGCTCCTAGTATTACTGTTATGCATATCACACTTCTTTGGAAATTCATGTATATTGTTACGAGCAACAGTCAATATTTTTATTTCTTTAAACTTATCTCTTGACACTCTAGGGCCTTAACTATAAATTGCACGAATAGCTCTTTTCTGCAGGACAAAAATCATTTCCCCATAGTAAGATACCATAGGACATAATACTATGAAAATAACTAAAATATACTATGCAAGCTGTATCTACAACAGTAAGAAGTCTTATTTTTGTGCCGCGAACGCTACAGAGCTGAGTCTACTCGCTAGCCCCTCAATATGGGGGCCCCTCTGCAATTTCGAATCTATGATAATACCTAGGAATTTAGTGGACTCTTCCGGTTTTAACACTTCCCCATTTAATATTACACCATTATCAACAAGTTTAACATTAGGTGTTGAGAATTTTATTAATTTTGTGTTTTTATTATTTAATAATAAATTATTTTAATCAAACCCAATAGACAATCTTTGAGAGAGCATCGTTTACATCGTCGTACATTAACATATATCGCTTCATTTTAAAAATAAGTGTAATGTTATCAGCGAACAATACTATCTCATGTTTGTCCTGTACAAGAAATGGTAAATCATTAATATAAATTAGAAAGAGAAAGAGGCCAAAAATAGACCCTTGTGGAAACCCCATATCTAATGAAGCCCCAGAAGATCTCTTACTATTTACATCAACCCTCTATATTCTATTATTTAAATACGAATTCAGAAGGTCGAGTGCCTTATTTCTAATACCATAGTGATGCAGTTTCCTGATCAGCGTCTCATGATGCACACAATCCAAAGCCTTGGATAAGTTACAGAATATCCCAAGTGCATCTTGTGACCTTTCCCAAGCCTCAAAAATATTTTTTACTAGTTTAACAATAGCATCTGCCGTGGAGCGGCCTTTCGTAAATCCAAACTGTTTATTATGAAGTCGTAGATTGTGTGCATTGAAATGCGTTAACATTTGAGCGAGTATGATTTTTTCTAAAATTTTACTAAGCGTTGGCAGTACCGAAATTGGTCTAAAATTGTTAGGGTTTAAGGTACTACCTGATTTAAATATAGGAATAATTTTACTGTGTTTCATTAGATCAGGAAACACACCATGCTCTATAATACTGCTGTTAAATACTACTGTATTAGATGAGATGCAACGACATCAATTACCTATATCTTTGTGGTATACAAATTTAAATACTAAACTACATTCTTTAACGTGTTCCAAAGGTAAATGTATCTATAATAATGATACTTTAATATAATATTTCAATAAGATTTTCCAAAAAATATTTATTTATTTATTTATTTATGTACCAGAAATAAAAACATACAAGTTAAAACAGATGCCATGTGTACAAAGGATGACTTATCTCTTTAAGAGATTTTTACCAGAAACCCTCAAGTGTGAGAAAATATAAAAATAATAATGCGGTGCGGTGTAGGTACAAACTACAAACATCAATTATAATATAAATATACATATATACAAACATACATACATACGCACATTTAATGTACAGATTCGACTCAGAATTTTATTATTTAGGTATAGATAAAATTATTTTCTGTAAATTAGTAAAAACGAAAATATAATTTATGTCACAGAATATAAAAACGGTAAAGTATCAAAATTTTAAGGCTGGCATCGGTTTATATGGCAACTAGGGCATCGTGTATAAACTATAAACAGATATTGTCTGTGTTAAAAAATTGAAAAAAAAAACACGCGTAGGTATCAGCCAGCTGTTTTTATTCTTGAGTGTTTGAAAATCGGTGAAAATCATTATGGGTCAAAATTAAATAGTGACAATCATTTTTAATGAGTGTTTTTTGTGACTGGTGTGTTTTCTTTACTTTTTCTGAAATTTTATTAGTGTTGAGAAAATAATCGATTTGGGCTTTGTCAAACATCACGACAATTCCTTTATTACGTCGCATTTTCATTATTTATCGATGTGTATAAATTGAGCTGACTTTGTTGTTTTATTAGTGCTAATATCAAAAAAATATTTAAAAATAAGTAGTTCAAGGTAAGTCAAATGATTTCAAGTATTAAAAACAATTCTAGTGCACCTTTATCTAAAGAACGTAAGCAACAATGCATCATTAGTAAACCTTGAAATTAATTTATTCATATCGACTTAATCAGATTTAGCTTTCTGCCTAACAAAGTGTCTAAATGAAAATAAGGCTCCAATTTTGATTTTAAGCAACTATAAATATATATAAAATATTGATTGTGCTATACCTACTTGTCTATTTAATATATTTTTTTATATATGCGTGGGGTTGATAATGTTTATTTGGTTAAAGTTATTTGAAGAAATAAATCGTTTTTTTTAATATATAGAATATATACTGTGAAAGTATATTATAGAGTTAGCTCTGGCTACCATACACAAAGGGATCACTAGATGCATGGTTTTGTAACTCAAATATTTAAATACTCAAGTCATTATCACATGTAATATATTATATAGGTATTCTTAATATAATGTTTGTGTTAATTTTAACATTAGCATTAATAACTTTAGACTAAACAAAGCATTCTTATGTAATTTCTCAGTTTGGACTATGAATAGATTCTAAATAATGAGATCTGTCATATTCTTGTGTCTCGATCTTCAATCTTGGCACTAAGGATTAATTATAAATTAAAAACATGAGTACTATCCACAATAACTGAAAAAAAACGATAAATGTTGTCAACAGTTGTGTTTAATATTATATCATTGAGCTCATATTATGAAAATATAAGGATTCTAAGTTCTTACTCAGCTGTGTCAATGAGATTATAGACAATGTTTTCTTACCTAATTTCAGTCATGTTTTTTTATTGGAATTAGATATTTTTCTACTAAAACAATATGAAGAAATTTGCATTGAATTTGTTGAATTTAACCTTTCCTGTGGGTAAGGGATAAAAGTCATATAGGTATTTAAATATTTTCATAAAAAAATATCTGTATCATTATTTATCTTATGCAATCTACTTGCATCTTTATTTTGGCATAAGATATCCTTATTTGCTTAAATTTGGCATAAGAAAATTAATTGGGTATATTCATTCACTTTATTCTTCTTCTTCTTCCTTCTTTAACTTCATCAAGTTTTGCTATTACATACCCTTTTTTATAATATAAACAAAATGCATCATTTTATTAAATACATCCTTCCAAGAACAAGACAAGAAAACATTGGAGTATAATGAATACAAACCATAATTCCCTGTAGATATCAAACATTTTATTGGCTTGGTCATATATGCACATTGCATTGTAGATTTTTTAGTACAGGTTTTTTCATCAATTGAGTAATGTTTATTTTGGTTTGTGCTCCCTTTATAATGAAAATGTATGCAATAGACTTTGTTTTCCAGACTTACTAAGGAACTATAACTGTCAACAGAAAATGCCAATAATCTATACTAATATTATAAAGAAGGTAAAGTTTGTGAGTTTATGACGTTGTAGGGGGTAATCTCTGGATCTACTGAACTGATTTAGATGAAATTTGGTAAGAAGATAGTTTGAAACCCTGGGAAAGACATAGGATACTTTTTATCCCGGAAATCATCCCTTAAGGGGGTGAAGATGGGGATGAAAGTTTGTGTGGGGAATCAACCTCAGGACGAACCCGAGCGAAGTGGGGTGAGTCGCTAGTACTTAATAAAAACATTTGAAAAAAAAAGCTTTGCGTTAAGAGTATATTAATAATAGTACTCACTTTATTTAGTAATGGACCAATTTTGAAACATAAGCATATAAAAAATAAAAAGAGATGTGCAAGTATTATAAAATAATTTAAATTACAAATAGAAAAAACACCTTGTTTTGTAATCTTATGTATATAATTCTTCTGTATGTGTGTTTGTTAACCTATTCCTCCTAAAGGACTGGACCGATTTGGATGAAATTTTGTGTGTATATTTCAATGGGTTCCTGGATGGTTTGAAAATACAAA